AAACAACCTGTAATACAAAGTTGAATCTCACACACATAGCATGCAATAAAAATTAAGCAACAGATTTAGAATAAAATAAAACATTGTTTACCTATATAAAAGTTTAAAATTTAGATTAAAAATATGGTAACTATTTAAATAAATAGATTACTTTTATAAAAATCAAATAAAAAAAATTAGAACTATAGTATATGCTTTGAGATCTAGAAATTTCAAAGAACAGAATATTTTTTCAAAGATTTTAGAAAATATATGGGTAAGACACTAACTGGTCTAAAACTTGTTTTTAATAATGGGTCACTCTTTTTATGAAGGGGGTCACTTGGGCTTCTTTTAGTTAATCAGGGAAACAGTTATTTTCAATTGACAAATTTACAAGAGTTGTCAGCTGTGGTGCAATATAAGATTTACAATTTTTTAATATTTTTCCTGGAATACCATCAGCTCCTGTATCCTTCTTGATGTTTATTTTATTCAAGATTCTATCGACATTTTCGTTAGATACTTTCTTAAATTCAAAATCAGAAACATGCTCTCTATTACTAAAAATTTCATTCATACTTGGATGGTTTGAGGGGTCATATACCACATCTGCTCCAATTTTGTCTGCTACTGTGGAGAAAAAATTATCAAAAACATTTGAAACTTCATTTGGACTATTTACAATTTTGTCATTTTCACATAATAATTTTGTTTTGGTCTTTTCAGTTTCCCTTTTTTGAGAAAAATGGTTTGACTGTTTTCCAAAACTCGCATGATTTTGACCCACCAGAGCAACGTTTTAAAAAGTATACTTTTATTGATTTTCTCTTTATCTTAGTTACCAAATTTCTTTGTTTTCTAAATTTCTCCCATTTTTTGTCACTCCGGTTATTAGTATATTGTGAATAAAGCATTTGTTTTCGATATATGGCCCCTCTCAGTTCTTTATTCATACATGGAAGTGGTTTTCTTTTCGACACCTAGCTTTTATAGGTGCATGTTTATTTAATATATTTTTGAAATCTTTTTCATAATCATCATATATACTATTAAGATCTTTCTCAGTACAATTTTCTGAAATCTTTATTTTCTGTAAATCATTTGTAATTTGATCAATATCAAAAGTTTTGTAACTTCTATATGTTACGTCCCTGCGTTTTTGTGCAGGTAAATTCTCTTTCACAACTGTAGAAATAATGTTGTGACAGTCACTAACACCATTTGGACTATTTGTTGTCGCCTCGCTTTTCTCCTTATATATTTAGAGGGTGGTAAAGGGTTATTTTCGTGCAACGTGTTTTGCTATTTTTATTTCACGTGCAGCCGTGAAGAAGGTATATAAGTAAACCATTATAGGTCAAAGTACGGCCTTCAACACGGAGCCTTGGCTCACACCGAACAGCAAGCTATAAAGGGCCCCAAAAATGACTAGTGTAAAACCATTCAAACAGGAAAACCAACGATCTAATCTATATAAAAAACGAGAAACGAGAGACACTTATGAACCACATCAACAAACGACAACCACTGAACAACAGGTTCCTGACTTAAGGTGCAAACAAATGCAGCGGGTTTAAACGTTTTAACAGGCGCCTTCCTTCACCCTAACCTGAAACAATAGTGTAACATCACAACATAGAAAGACACACTATAAAATATCAATTGAAATGGCTTAACTCAATCAAAAGACATATCAACAAAAACAAGTAAACATACACTGAACGAATAAAATTGATCTATGACACAATGTAAATACAAAATTGATAAAAAAAAAAGGGAGAGATGTAAAACAATATCAGAAAAACAACCATAACCTTGGACAAAATGCCGCCAAATAAAATAACGTACACAGGTAAATAAAAAAGTTGTAAGGTATACATGGAGTACGGAAATATTTTTTACAAAATAAATAATTTTGTTTTTCATAGTACGAGAACAGAAGTGAAAATTTATCGTCATACCAAACACTTATCGAATGTGGTATATATTAAAAATAGTGAGACGAGATATAACACTAAATAAGTAAACATTAAATAACAAAAATGCATTACAAATTGTATCAACAGGTCAAATTAACACGAAAGTACGATCTGAGAGTAGTTAAAAGCCAAAATAAATTAATAATAAAAAAAAACAATGCATCAGAGACTAAAATCAACTAAAACACACCCCCAGGGATTGAGTGTTTTAACGTCATGGACAGTCAAAGAAGACATGACTTGTGCAATGCCATAATAAAAGTATCGACAGACAGTAGGATAGTTAGGAGTTAACCTTTTAATAAATATGTATAATGTCATATATATAGATAAAGTTCTCTATTTAGAAAATAAACCTGGATTTGTATTTATACATCCCAAAAACCGTTTGAAAAGAATACAAATTTAGTTATGTTTTAATTTGCTGATGACAAAATCGATATTTGTGCCAATGTAAACTATAGTCAAAGATCTAATTACAACATTGGTAAGATAACCTTTACTAATAAGTTTTAAAGGTTCGATGAGTTTACACGGATCACATAGTGATTTCCGCGCTTTTAGTACAATATTACCGTAAAATTTAGGATGTGAAATACCGTTCTTAATAAGTTTTCTACAGGTACAGCCAAATTAACTATTTAATCAAATTTTTTTTATCTATGAAAGAATTTAGTAAAATTACACCGTGTAACGAATTTATCTTACCAACTATCTTCACATGTGGTATTTAGACTAGCGGACAATCAAAGTGATTAAGTCTTCAATTTTGTTGGATTTCTCTATATAGACCTATATGATGCTGATTCCGTAACCATATGGTCATATGCTATAAGAAGAGAAATTATTGATATATGCATGTACATTATAAATAAATATGTGTAATAAAAATATAATTTATACCTGTAATGATTGTTGTACTCTTTATCTTGTTTTAAAGCTTGAAAAAGGATGGAATCATATGCAGTGATATTTTAGGTACATTAATATAAAAGTACATGTTCTGATTCTCAGTCAGACTGGACCTTTTCAATTCAGAATAATGGGATGTAGGCAGGTTTTTTTTTTACAGATGTAATTTGGTTTATCCTTAATCCACTACAAATTGTTTTATAGTTTTTTTTTTATTTGCTTGCCGATTGAAATTTATTTAAAAAAAACTTAACAAAAATGTACTGTCATTTTCTGAAGACTTTCATTGCTCCATTTAAAAGAGATAAAAAAATTCATTTGCGCATTGTTGAAGGCTTACAATGACCTACATGTATACTAGCAGTTGCATATATTTTGGTTACAAAAAGTTGCGGAAATAAATTTTTAATCATTTTTGGTCAACTTAAAATTGCATCATGTGGTTAATTTTCTTCGTTTGGATATAGTTTATTTTTGTTATTTAAAATTAAAAATGTTTGTTGCTTATCTTTTTTCGCTCAGCATTTATATTTAAATTAGATAACAGACAAGAACGTTGTAAAATGTGCAGGGCTTGTGATGATGATAAAATCTACTTATCATGACCTTATACATTCTGTATGTGTCTGTCCGAAGTCAGGAGCCTGTAATTCAGTGGTTGTCGTTTGTTGCTGTATATCATTTTTGTTTTTCGTTCATTATTTTGTACATAAAACAGGCCGTTAGCTTTCTCGTTTGAATTGTTTTACATTTGTCATTTCAGGGCCTTTTAGAGTTGTCTCATTGGCAATCATACCACATCTTCTTATTTTTATATACCTCTTTCAAAATGAAGGAGGATTATTGTAAATATGATATTGCACATACTGTTACGTACACAAAAAGAAATGTCATACCCTCACTCATCCTTATCAAAATGTTTTCTCGTCCTGAACATGCATGAAATATTTGCCACTGGACTTTAAGCAACCAACAATTAAATCAGCCTTATCAACAACGAAAGAAAACATACCACAAAATATGCAGATTGAGCAGTTTTTCCATTCTCGTGCATTTTTGTTTATAGCAACAAAAAAATAGTCATTGTACATGAATTTTGCTGCCTTGTAAATAATTCAAAGTTTGGATGAAGTTCAAGATTATTTATTTAATTACGAAAGGAGAAGGTCCGGTTTTTTTTAAAAATTCATCTGATGAAAGATTTTTGACATTTTTTAAACACTTAAGTGTCTTCTTCAGTCGATTCAATTCATTTATGTAATAGATTTGAAGTGATTTAATCATAAAAGACGCCTAAATTCAAGCTTAAATATGAAATTCTATCAAATATGCCACAAAACGTCACTTTTCAGATGGTTTTTGTCTAGAATGGCCGCATTCGTGTTCAGTCTCAACCTTTATATATGTTATGTATCATCATCAAATACAACATATATCTAAATATTAAGACTGAACACAAGTGCAGCCACTTCCATTTTAGACAAAAACCGTCTAAAATTAGCATAAATGCTAAGAAATTGAAGATTTTAGTAATTTTGCATGAATAAAGGATGCAAGTTCCTGGTCCATGTGCTGTGTAATGTCACAAACAGCCCATGGATATTTATGTAACAAAAGTATTATTCTTTTCAATAAATAGCTAAAAGTTTACATTTTCAACAAATAATTGAAATGGTATATTTTGGGGCCAAAAAGGGGTCTTACCGGGCCTACTCCTTTCTAGTTGAAGTTTGCAACGTCCATTGGCCAATATTACAGATATATAAAGGACGATGTTGTATAATTAATTATTCTTTATCTTTCCTATATCTTTTTCTCGTCTTTTTCATTAAGCCCATCAGGTTCTAAAGTATGAAGCTGGTGGATCCAAAAGTTTTCTCTTCTCCTTCTCGCCGTGGTGACAAGTTTTAAATGCAATGCTCTTAATCAATTAATTAAACGAATACCGTCAACATCTACCTTCTTCTTCTTTATTCTTCCCTCTACTATTTGGAGTACCAATTCAACATTTACCAGAAAAACGGGCAGGCGCACGATCTCAATTCACCATATATCTGATATCGTTCTATCATCGTGCCTAGACCGGATCAAAAGTCACAATTTAACACAACTGCCTACACTGTTAAAGTTTCAACTGTTTCACTCCCCTGTCGTGGAACATCCCTCTGTTTTTCCCTCAATTTAGAGCAAAGAGATGTTTTGAGCAGAATTTGGAAGATAATGTAGATATTAAGACAAATATGACTTGCAAATTATGAATATCATTGTAAATACAGTTCCTTCATTGATATGAGCTTGGGTCCCTTTTTATTCCTATAAAACTGCACAAAATAACTTTTACCTCTGTTTGTTTTAGATTAGAATAACCTTATATATGTAGACCTGAACAATTCAATATGGATAAAAAAGTCTACATTCTCACCATAACTAGACCATTTACTGGTTAACTGAACCAGTTCTTAGTGTTTAAATATTGTAAATAGTGTTTTATCTATAACAAATTAGCATGTTTCTACATTGTGCGTCTTTTTCACAGCATCTAATGCCTTTTGGGTGTCATTTTCCAGTTTTATTTTCTGGTTTGGCTGCCCTAATAAGAAAATATGCCATGATTCAGAACCCCTAAAATAGGAACCCACAGCATTGTGCTCTTTTTCAAGATGCTTTGGCATATATAAACATGGGTAAAGTCATTGTGACTTTTTTCACTTTGTCCAAGATAAGGTTATTAACTTGTCAATCATGTGAAATGATATTTATAGAATAACTAATCGAAGAATTAAAATAGAGAAAAATATTCAACGAGTGACCGAACAACACATTAATTCACGAATGCGCGTAGCGCATGAGTTAATTATCAGTGTTATTCGGTCACGAGTTGAATATTTTTCGATATTTGAATTCTTTGATTAGTTATTCTTTTTATTACATTGGCAAATGGCTTTTTTATGAAATTAAAGTAGAAAACGTAAGGAACTATATCTTTTTCTACGCATTCACAATTTGTTTTGATCCGACGTTATCGACGTCTTGACAACGCCGATTGTTGTATGACGTCAGAGGAGTGAAATAACCACGTTTATTTCACATGTGATATTATCGGTTTTTATTTCATTGGGAAATCAATGTAATTCATTGCAACCAATGTAATAATAATCAGTATTTCATTAATTCTATTGTTTATTTCAGACTACTAAGGGTTAATGTTCATGTGGTCAACATTGAGGTTTTGATGGTTCAGAACAATAATTGCATAATAATTAAATGATGTTGCATTATAGATGTACATGTCACATACTCCTTGCTTGTTAATTGGCCACAATTGAAAGAATCCCATACTGTTTTGGCCAAATGATTGTGATATTTTAATTTAACTAAAGCTTTTGTCTACAAATCATTTTGAAACAGTGCTGAGCTCTTGGATATGTATTGCTTGAAAATTACTTAAATAAGGTGGAGAAAACAAGAAATCAGGGCACTCAAAGTAATTTTCAAAACAAAAGATAACAACTGAAGAGGTTCCTGAAGTACATGTATATATAGATATATATTAGGGCATCAAATGTGTCTAACAGACACAGGATACTTTCAGGTCAAACAACAAAAGGGCCTTAGTGGTCGAGTTGTGAAAGTAGTCGATCTACTGTATCACACGCCTGTCAACACTGAGGTTGTGAGTTCGAATCCCGCACATGACAGATAAGCTCCACTCCAATTTTAATTGACAAGGATTGTTAGTTTTCCTACTGAAGATCAGTGGTTTTCGCTGGTCACTCCGGCTTCCTCCACCAATAAAAACTGACCGCCACGAAATAGCACAATAGTGCTGAAAGTGGCATTAAACCCCAATCAATCAATCAATCAAACAACAAAATACTTTTCACTCATTAAAATTCAAAGGTTTTGCAGGTGGGCATACTTTTGTCTTTTTTTTAAAGAATTTTCATGCAAATGACTACATTTCTTCAGCTAGAGGTTTATGAATAAAAAAAATAATAAAACAGTTGTGAGTCTCCAACCAGATATCTTGAGTTCAAGTGCTAAATACAATGTACAATAAAATTCACAATGTAACATAAATATTGTAAGATATTTTGGAAGAAGGCTTAATAGTTAGTGTTGAATGATATCTTTTCTTTTTCAGGGTTTTAATGTTTGATTTTTGTGATGGCCGTGGGATGTCCAGCATCAGTTGTGACAAAGTGTGCACAGATAGCAACCCTGTTGGAAATCTGGTATCTGTTCACTATCAGAATAAAATGGCAGGATTTATTGGAGAGAATTTTGTCAGACCTCCTGTTAATGTTACTTTACAATTTCCTTGTAATATTGAAGTTTTCCGTGTTATTATTAACCCAGTAGTCGGGGCACAAAAATCAAATGGATTTGAAATTTATACATGTTCAAATAAAGTAGACACATCACATTTGCTTCAAAACAAAGTACCAGTACTATCTAGCAAAAGTTCTTTGTTTGTTCCTATTGGTAAAATGATTGTTGATAAACCTGGAGTTATTTGTTTCACAAATGGTCAGTTTAGATATGATGAATCTTCCGGTAATAGTTCAGTTCCACCAATGGATCAATACAGTTACCATGGTGAACTGAGACATGGAAGATCAAGTGCTTTAAATTTTGTAAGCCATCTTACTGTCAGAATTACAAGAACTGTTAGTGGAAGTGCAGTGTGTATCAAGAAGTTAGAAGTTTACGGGAGACCTTCAAAATCATGCTCAGAATGTGTCATCAACAAACTTAAACAATTGTTTTCACCAAGAATAAGAAGTAGTGACGTTTCAGCTAAGATTCAAAACGAAAAAGCTGACAATGTGCAGCAATCAAACTGTGATCTTTTTTCATGTAATGATGTAGATATTCCAGAGGATTTTATAGACAGTATCACTCAGGAAATCATGACAATGCCAATGTTATTGCCATGTGGTAAAAATGTTGACCAGTCAACACTAGAAAAACATGTTTCAGCAGAAGCCTCATGGGGTAGATTGTCAAGTGATCCCTTCACAGGGATGTTGTTTGACAGTCAGAAAAAGGCAACCCCAAATCTTCCACTGAAGGGGAGGATAGATCAGTTTGTTCTTAGGCATTCAGATAAACTGCAAAATATACCACGGACAATAGGAAGAGAGGTGAAGGAAGGACCGTCTACAAGCAGACTTGTGGGTACTGTAAATTTACAACAATCTACTAGCATAACTCCTACAAAAAAAATGAATATTAACATAAGAATGTTGGGAAAAGAAAAAATGTGTTCGATTCTGTTCTTGACTTGACAAAAGATAGTGATCAGTTTGACGGGGTTTCACATGATGATAGAAAGAAATCAAAGAAGGAAAAGATAATTGATTTGACAGCAGATGATACAGAGAGACCTACGGAATGTGATGAAATAATTGATTTGACATTTAGTGAAACTTTAAAGGGTTTAAAAAGCCATGAATCTGATCTTCAGAGTAGTCTTGATAGTGCCTTATTGACAACACTAGGGACATTACCATCGTTTACAAAACCTGTTAAAACACAACAAGTACCTGTTGGATGTAGCCTTTGTAAAACAGTGGACAGCCAAATTAATTATAGACTTTCCTGTTGTCATTACATATGTAGAGATTGTCTGACAAAGTCTCCAAACACAGTTTTATGTCAAATTTGTAAAATTCCAACAGAAAGGAGTGATGCAGTTCGTGCACATATTACATAATTAAATAATAAACTTAGTGTGAATTTATTAATAAATATTTTTCATCTATTTGGAAAGCATGCCAGATATGTTTTAATTTAAAGCCATTTAAAAGGTATAACAAAATACACTATAAATAGAACATATTGGCAATTTTTTGAAAAAAAAGTATTTCCTTTGTTGCTAGTCCTTGATAATAAATTATAATTTGGTATATAATTAATAGGGCCCCATATCGAGGATGTGGGAGCCAAATAGTTTTCACTGTGTCTGTCCGTCAACAATTTTTTGTAAGCACAAAAATTCCAAAAAGTATAGGTAAGAGGCCAATAAAGATCAATGAAATGTTGCACAATTCTGGGCATGATACATGTATGTAGATGTGCATATCATTTTTATTTTTTATTTTTGTTATTTTCAAGAATTACAACAAATACAACACATCAAACATACATACAGTAATATTAGCAATACATTTTGAATATCTATTTATCTATAACAGTAAACATTGTGGAAAATTCATTTTTTGTCGAGCCTTCGACTTTAGTCGAAAAAGCGAGACATAGCAATCCTACATTCCGTCGTCGGCGGCGTCCACAAATATTCACTCTGTGGTTAAAGTTTTTGAAATTTTAATAACTTTCTTAAACTATCCTTGATTTCTACCAAACTTGGACAGAAGCTTGTTTATGATCATAAGATAGTATCCAGAAGTAAATTTTGTAAAAATAAAATTCCATTTTTTCCGTATTTTACTTATAAATGGACTTAGTTTTTCTGCCGGGAAATATTACATTCACTCTGTGGTTAAAGTTTTTAAAATTTTAATAACTTTCTTAAACTATCCTGGATTTTTACCAAACTTGAACAGAAGCTTGTTTATGATCATAAGATAGTATCCAGAAGTAAATTTTGTAAAAAAATAAATCCATTTTTTCCTTATTTTACTTTTAAATGGACTTAGATTTTCTGCCAGGAAACAACACATTCACTCTGTGGTTAAAGTTTTTAAAATTTTAATAACTTTCTTATACTATTTCGGATTTGTACCAAACTTGGACAGAAGCTTGTTTATGATCAAAAGCTAGTATCTAGAAGGAAATTTTGTAAAAAAAATAAATCCATTTTTTACTTTTAAATGGACTTAGATTTTCTGCCAGGAAACAACACATTCACTCTGTGGTTAAAGTTTTTAAAATTTTAATAACTTTCTTATACTATTTTGGATTTGTACCAAACTTGGACAGAAGCTTGTTTATGATCAAATGCTAGTATCTAGAAGGAAATTTTGTTTTCTTCCAGTTAACATTACATTCAGTCTGCAGTTAAAGTTTTTTAAACATTTATTAGATTCATAAACTATCCTGGATTTTTACCAAACTTGGACAGAAGCTTCTTACAATCAAAAGATAGTATCAAGAGGAATATTTTTATTGATTTACTTCCTCATTTTTGTTGAGCCTGCGATTAACAGAAAAAGTAGGCGAGACACTGGGTTCCGCGGAACCCTTACGAATTTTATAAATATATATATGAAAAGAGAATATAATTACGGAAAGAAAAGATAATTTGAGTTAATGTTTATGTACCACATGAGTAGAGTAAAGTATTTTATGAAAAAGGAAGAGGTTAAAATATCCTGTAAGATTTCAGTACATTATAAATTGTGCTATTAGGTAAAATCATATTTTTATGAAATTCAGCTTATTAATTTTCAGAAAAATTTTGTTTTTGTTAATCACTTACAAATTTTGAGAAATGCCTTTTGTAGTGCAAAAAACTTCAAAAGTATAGGTTAAAGGCCATTGAAATTTTGCACAGTTGTTGCATGCATAATATGTAGATGTGTATATTTTGGAAAATGTCTTCTTATAATAGGATTTTAACAAAATCTGATATATACATGATATAGGTGTATTATGTTATTTCAAAGCGATTGACAAATTAAAAAAATTAAAAACTAACTTTTTGTTAAAAAATCACAAAATTTGGGAAGCATCTTCTTGTGGTAGGATGTCATCAAAAATTGATATATAATAGAGGCAAAATATGCATTCTTTTTGCTAGGTTTTAAATGAAAAAAAAGGTATCATTTGCTATTAGGATATGATTCCCTGTGTCAAAACTATTGGTTGCCCCACCAAAATACATAGTGCTTGGAAGTTAACAAAACATATATTACAATCAAGAATACATCCTGAATTAATTGCTGTCAAAATTTAGGAAAAATGACAACTTATGAACATTTGCTTTGTGTGCATCAGTCTCTTTGCCTCACATAAAAAGAGGGCTCTCTAGTGGTTTAGTGAGAAGTTACATATCATGTCTTACATTTTGTAATGGTTGAGCTACTTTTGACCTAACTACTCCATTTGACTTATAAAAGTTAATAACAGTTAAGAACTATATCTTATCCCTCATCTCTCCTTACAGATATTGCGCTGGTATTTAGTGTATATAATTATCAAATGAGCGGTTATATATGATATTTGAGTTTGTTTTGGTTGACCAATGAGACAGCTTTTCACCAGAAACCAAAGGACATTTAGTAAATGCTTTCACCAAGATTTTATATCTGTATCCCTGCTGTTAGAATATATTCTCAAGCTTTCATGGTTTTCCTTAGTCCATTGTTTAACTTTGTTTTTTGGAAAGAAGATGGACTTGACAAGATAATACTCAATCTACAGGTGCTTATGGAATGGACCCCTTTTTTTTCTCTTTTCCATATGATATTACAATAATATTTGTTTATAAATTTCAACCCCTTTTAACTTTTTCCGAAAATAATATAGAGGGTCAAAATTTATAAACTAATACTATTGTAATAACGTATGGAAAAGATCAAGAACTAGAGACATGTAATACATTAAACATCTCTGCGAGAACCCATTGAATAAGTGAAAATAAGTAAAACTATTACAGAATATTTACTGAAAAAATTAGGACACAAAAAAGATAAGAAAATAGGGGGTCCATTCCCAAGCGACTGGTTTTTGAAGTCATTATTTCACAAAATTTCACAAAAATCAGTTGATGAGATATTTCAGAGCTTGTTTCCAGTTAGGATGTCCTTTGATACAGACTTAGGGTGTTAAACGGTAGACCAGTGGAATAAAGACTTCGTCGGTAGGGGACTAACAAGCATTCTGAGAGTATTGCATGGCAACACATAGTCCCCTACCGGTTAAAAATTCATGGTACTGGAACAAAATGCTAACTTGTTCCATAACTCGTCATAGTGTAAACTATATAACAAACATCAAGTCAATATCTTCAAGCATGACAACTGACAAGTGAAACTGCGAGCTACTGCTCACTGATGATACCCCCGCCGTGAAAATAAGTTATTCAAGATCAAACAATTCAAAACACAAAAATCGTCTGTGAGCCACGAGTCTGCTCTCCTTTCCCTTGCTCATGGCTGATCACTAGACTCTTGCATGCTATGAGTAAAACAAACAATGCAATTTTTGAGAAACGGGAATTGCTTAACTCTCTGGACCACATATAAAAGTTCATCCATGGAAATTGTCTCTCTTGCGACGAATGTCGCAGAATGCGAGACAGGAATTACAATCCGGCGGAGGCAACTGTGTAAACTGTTTGTGTAAGGCTTTATCTTTCATCCATGGAATTCTGTCTCTCTTGCGACGAATGTCGCAGAATGCGAGACAAGAATTACAATCCGGGGTTAGAGACTGCGTAAACTGTTTGTGTAAAGCGGCATTTTAAGCTTTATATTTCAGACATAGGTACTTGGGGACAGGACAATTTTTTTTAGCCCTACCCCTTTTCTTCCAAAATCCGTTATTTTTTTGTTTTCTATTAATTTCAATTATTATACTCTCTACATACTAGTAACATATCAGTAACCGCTGTGGATAGTAAACTTGGAATTGATAGTAACGATCAAATACAAGTTATTTGTAGTATATTTATTTTCATATAATGCAGAAAAACGCGAAAATAATTGAAATTAATTAGTTTCCTTCTGTCATATGTCCTTTGTCCTCAACCTCATTTTCATGGTTCAGTGACTGCTTGAAAAAAAATTGTTTTTTAGTCAAGTGAAATACTTATTATTATATAGGATATAACTATATCTGGTATATGGGTTCCTTGCAACGTCTACATATCCGTCAGGTAGGGTTCACCTGACCTCGACCTCATTTCATGGAAAGTTACGTGGTCAAGTCCATATCTCAGATATTATAAACATTAGGTCAACTTTATTTGGTGTATGAAATGTTTGTAAGGTGTACATGTCCGACTGGCAAGTTTAATCTGACCTTGACCTCAATTTCATGGTTCATTGGACAATGTTTAGTTTTGTGGTTTGGTCTATTTCTCATTATTATAAGCAATAGGGCCACTAAATTTGGTGTATGGAATGACTGTAAGGTGTACATGTCCGTTTAGCAGGTATCATCTGACCTTGACCTCATTTTCATGGTTCATTGTCAATGATAATTTTTCGTAATTTTGTCAGTTTATCAGATACTATAAGCAATAGGTCAACTATATTTGGTGTATGGAAAGAAGGTGTACATGTCTGTGTCTGGCATGGTTCATATGACCTTGACCTCATTTTCATGGTTCATTGGTCAGTGTTAAGATTTTGTGATTTTATCTGCTTCTCGGGTACTGTTAGCGATAGGACCACTATATTTGGTGTATAGAATGATTGTAATGTGTTCATGTCTGTCTGGCATCTGACCCTGACTTTACTTTCATAGAACATTGATAATGTTAGGTTTATGTGGACTTTCAATATGAATTCAATAATAAGTAAAACAGGCGAGACATTTCAGCGTGTGCACTTTTGTATTTAGTTTTGAGAGTCGAAGCTCCATGCACAAAATTAACACCATATCGCTGCTAGATGTAAGGTTATGACAAACGCATATATTTCACCTTTTCTCAAGTTGTCAACTTCCTTTCCTTTAACATACTATAGCATCTTCCACTGTTTACGATATAAGTCACCAGATAAATAGCAATGTGAACACATAAGATGTGATTGAAACAGTAACCCAATGACACAAATAACCAGAAAACATTTATTGTTCAATATTCAGCGGACTATACAATATGTCAAGCTCTAAATCCCAACTAAAATCTTGTAAATATATTAAACAGAAACTATCGAAGATCTGCCATCAATACCAAATTCTTCAAATTAAAAAAAAACAAACAATAAAGATGTGCATAAAGACATCCAAAGACTAGGTTCCTGACTTCAGACAGGCACATTGACAAGTAACAAGTAGACTTACAAAATGTACACAAAAGAACATATACTAAAGATCAGGACAGGGAAAACATGTACACAAAAGAACATATACTAAAGATCAGGACAAGGAAAACATGTACACAAAAGAACATATACTAAAACATTGTAAAATAAGGTATGGCTTGTTAAACCTGTAATTCAGTGGTTGTCTTTTGTTGCTGTATACTGAGATATCTAATAGTTATAGTAATCTCACCTGTATATCATAACTGTGTTTCGTTTATTGTTTTGTACAGTTTGTTCTTGGATGTGCTGTAAATATAAATAAGAAGATGTGGTATGAGTGCCAAAGAGACAACTATCCATCCAAGACACAAGGTGTAAAAAGTAAACAATTATAGGTCAAAATGCGGCCTTCAACACGGAGCGAACAGCAAGCTATACAGGGCCCCAAAAAGACTAGTGTAAACAATTCAAACAGGAAAACCAACGGTATAATCTATATAAAAAAAACGAGAAACGAGAAACACTTATGAACCACACCAACAAACGACAACCACTGAACAACAGGCTCCTGACTTAGGACAGGTGCATACAAATGCAGCGGTTTTAAACATTTGAACAGGCGCCAACCTTCACCCTAACCTGAAACAGTGGTATAATATTACAACATGAAAAGACACACAATAAAAAATCAATTGAAATGGCTTAACTCGATCAAAAAGACAATACACCAAAAAAAAAGAGTAAAATATACACTGAACGAATAAGTTTGATCTATGACATAATATAAATAAAAAAGATGTTTCAATGTCAAAAAGACAACTTTAACCTAGGACAAAATGGCGATAAATAAAGTAACGCACACAGGTAATTTTAAATATAATAATTTTGTTGTACAGACACATTTTTTACTAAATAAATTTGTTATTCATACTACGAGTAAAGAAGTGAAATTTGTTTCGTCATACTCAATACTTACCAAAGGTGGCAGATACGGATTTAGGGGGGCCGCCCCCCCCCCCTTTTGTGTGAAAAATTTGGTTGATTATATAGGGAATCACTGAAGCATGACTGGAGCGGACTCCCTCTTAGGCAGTGAGTGGGCCCCACTTATGAAAATTTCTGGATCCGCCACGGGGTGGTACATATTAAAAATAGTAAGACGAGATATAACACAAAATAAGTAAACATTGAATAACAGAAATGCATTAAAAATTGTGTCCGCAGGTCAAATTAACACGAAAGTACGATTTAAGAGTCCTCGCAGTTACTGAAAGCTAGTTAAAAGCCAAAAACAATTAATAATAAAAAATCATGCATCAGAGACTCAAATCAAATAAAACACATCCCAGGCAGGTATTTGGCGTTTTAACGCCATGGACAGTCAAAGTAGACATGACTTGTGCAATGCCAAAATAAAAGTAACGGCAGGCAGAAGAATAGTTAGGATTTAACCTTATAATAAATATGTGTGATGTTATGTATAGATAAAACAATTTCTAAATAGAAAATAAACGTGAATGTGTATACAACATTAATAAGATAACCTTTACTAATAAGTTTGTTTAAAGGTTCGATAAGTTTACAAGGATCACATAGTGATTTCCGCGCTTTCAGTACAACATTACCGTAAATAAAGGCAACAGTAGTATACCGCTGTTCAAAAGTCATAAATCGATTGAGAGAAAGCAAATCCGGGTTACATACTAAAACCGAGGGAAACACGTCAAGTATAAGAGGAAAACAAAGGAACAACAGAAACACTGAAGTGCAACAAAAACAAACGCCAACATACATAGAAACGAACTATTTGATAACAACTGTCATATTCCTGACTTAGTACAGGACATTTTAAGAAAAAATGGTGGGTTGAACCTGGTTTTATGGCTAGTCAAACCTCCCGCTTATATGGCAATGTTAAAAAATATCGCTAGAATGACAACACTACGTGACAGAAATACAGCAAAAACACACGCAAGAACACTCATCACAGAGAAACGCACAAATAAATAATATAATAGTCGATACAACATGTAAACCACAGAATAACAACGAACATCTCCCATTAACGACAGACAGCACAGGACATCACAAACAGTGACGTATTTGAAATTTATGATGTGAAATACCATTTTTAATAAGTTTTCTACAGGTATAGCCAAATTAACTAATCACATCTTTGTATCTATGAAAGAATTTAGTAAATGTTTTAAGTAATTTATAATAATTTACCAATGATACATTGATTATGTTAATTAAAATCTATGACATCACTACACACACGGGCATAACGAAGAGTTGGGATATATAAACACCGTATGATGGAGCCAAAGGAACATCGCCGTCTAGAAAAGGAAAATTAACAATAGGGAATGAAAAATCGTCTCTTTTGTCGTAAATTTTTGTATGGAGTTTCCCTTTAGAAATTGAAATGTCTAAATCTAGAAAAGGACAACTACTGCTGTTTATGTTAGATTTATTTAAAGTAAGTTCCTTTGGGTAAATTTCGGTAGTATATTTAGAGAATTCTGGATTATTTAATGAAAAAATATCACCAAGAGAACGGTAGGTATTGCTGAATGTGTCAACTAAATGTAACAATGACGTGTCTTTACTAATTTTGGCCATACACTGTGATTCATAGCAATATAGGAATAAATCTGCTATTAAAGGGGCGCAATTAGTGCCCATAGGAATACCTACTACCTGTCGATACACTTTATCGCCGAAACGTACATATATGTTGTCCAGGAGAAAATTTAAAGCTTCAATCATATCTTCACATTTCCAGTAAGTGTATCTAGCATACTTTCCTTTTTCGTTTCAGAAAAAGGCTTTAAGACTGGCCAAGGTTAGGGGAGGGTTGGACCCCGCCACATTCTGTATGTGCCTGTCCCAAGACAAGAGCATGTACCGGTAAGTCAGTGGTTGTCGTTTAATGCTGTATATCACATTTATTCTTCGTTTATTGTTTTATACATAAACCTTGCTGTCAGTTTTTTTTGTTTGAATTGATTTACATTTGTCATTTCGTAGTCTTTTATTGCTTTTTGCGTATTGTTGAAGGCCGTATGGTGATCTATAGTTGCTTACTTATACGTCATTTGGTCTCTAAGGGGAAAGTTGTCCCATAGGCGATCATACCACATCTTTTTATTTTTATATGCAATGTATTTTTTTCCACGTTTTGTTATCTATCTTGAAGCTTTCCAACTGAGTTTACCATTGGGCAATACAACGGATCTTACAAGTGGTGTAGAAAATACTTACCACTTCTTTGTCTTATTCCACTTGGTCTTTTTTTCTTTAGAACGGAGGACCTCGCTGCGTTTATAGCCGTTTCAAAGGGATGATTTTTCTTTCCCTATAGTTAATTTTCCTTTTTTGGACCGTGATGTTCCTCTGGCACCGTCTTACGGTGTTTATATATCCCAACTCGTTCGCTAAGCCCGTATCAGTAGTGACGTTTTGGAATTCAATGAGCGTAATCTATATATTACTGGTAAATTATTAAGTCAGGGATTTCGTTATCACAAATTACTTAAAACCTCTACTTAATTCTTCTATAGATACAAAGATTTGGTTTGAAAGTTTGGCTGTACCTGTAAAACACTTATTTCAGACGGAATAGCACATCCTAAATTTCACGGTGATGTTGTTTACCGAGCCCGGGTAAACTTATCAATCCTTTAAATAAACTTATTCTAAGAGGTTACCAATTCAACACAGTAATTAGATCTTTGAATATTGGTTTTATTGGTAAAAACATTGATTTTGTTATCAGTAAATAATTTATCAAAATCATACTAAATAGTATTGTTATACACATATGCGCTTTAACGGTACTACAATCTGTCCATACCTTTGGCATTGCACAAGTTCATGTTTTTCTCTGACTGTTTACACTAAATCAATTGGATGTTGGATGTGTACTGATTGATATTTTAGTCTTAGATACATAATTTTTTTATTAGTTGTTATTGGCTTTGAACTAGCTGTCAGTAAGTACGAGTACTCTCAGATCTGTATACTTAGTTTCTTTTTTGTTGTTAGGGATGAGGGATGGATAAATACCCTGCCACGTCCGGTCTGTGTTTTTGTTTGATGTTTTTCTGCTTTGTATCGATCTGATGAGTTAAGTCGTTTTCAACTGATTTTTATAGTTTGTTCTTATGATGTGCTGTTACATGTTAGGGAAGGGTTTATGTGCCTGTCCCAAGTCAGGAGCATGTAGTTCAGTGGTTGTCGTTAGTTCATGTCTGTCATAATTGTTTTTCGTGAATTGTTTTGTTATAAATTAGGCCGTTAGTTTTCTCAATTGAATTGTTTCATATTTTTCATGTCGGGGCCTTCTTATATGAGAATATGAAACCCATACCGTATAGTCGGCTATAAAAGGCCCCGACATGAAAAATGTGAAACAAATCAAACGATAAAACCAACGGCATATGTTCATTTAACAGTGGCGGATCCAGAAATTTTTATAAGGGGACCGACTGACTGCCATAAGAGGGGGCCCGCTTAGTCATCATGCGCTTCAGTGATTCCCTAAAAAATCAACTAAATTTTTTCCCACAAAAAGGGGGCACCCTACCTCCTAATCCGCCTCTGCATTAACCCGATATAGCCTGTGAGTGTCTCTTCTGAAAGTGACAAACAAAAGCCAAAATTTGTATTGCTATTCTCAATATATTTCGTGTTTAAACTCGTTCTCTTTTTGTTTTTCGTGATATCCAATTCCTTTCTTCAATATTACCTATTTTATGTCCATTACCTCGATATAGCCTTTGTGTGTCTCTTCTTAAAGCGACGTGCAAAAAAACCACACACACAAGTTAACCTGTGTCCTCTTTCATTTTCATTTCTTATTTTTCCTGAATTATTTTATAAGGCAAAACATAATCCCAATCGGCCCCGGCTCCTACGCCCTTGCTTTGTATGGTACGATGCACGAGAGGAATCGGGAGCTTTAGATTCTTTATTTAAGGTATCGGTTGTGATTGAAAATCTTGGCTGCAATATGGTTTGAGTATAGGTATAAGAAATGACAGGTTTCACTAATCAGTTTATCTTTGACTGAGTACTCGGTTAAAGTTTTTTCCCGAATATACTGATAATTTTGATAGCATCAAAACCCTTCACATCAAGCCGTTTTCCTTATTTCTTAATTTAGTTTTTTTAACATATGTCTAAAACGCGTCCCTGTCGACAAACGTGGTCTTATATTAACGAAAATTGTCCTAGGATAATCAACTTTCCGTAAAAACAGTCCGATCACGATTTCCTATTTTCATGAACTTTGTTGTTTTTCCGGTCATGAAATGGTCCATGCATTTATTATTCACACTCTTATTCCCGGTTCTACGAAACTACTTTACCATCAAATATATACCGAAGATAGTCATTTAAGTCGAATTTCAGACAGTGGTTTCATTGCAGAAAGGAAACGGTGTTTAGTAGAATGTGCTGCACAGGTAAGATAACATACGATTTCAGCCACGCCCCCATTTAAACATAACGGATCAGTTTGACAATAGTGTATCTATATAAAAGGGACTATTGATTTTAAATTTTGTTCAAGCTCTGTAATTTTGTTAAGTCTATTTTGTTCATTTTAATCATGTCCCAAAATTGTACTTTTCTTGGCAAACTGTACAAAATTACGTCATTGAAAGAGAGGCGGAAGATATCAAAAGGACGAAAAGACAACAGTCTACAAAACACATCATAGAAAACTAAAGACTGAACAAGTCAAAACATACTCCACCAAAAACATCTCAGGTTCTCCGGAAGGGTCAGGCAGATCCTGTTCCACATGTGGCACCGTCGTGTTACTCGTGTAAGTAAAAATCGGTGATGTCGCAATTAAGAAAAAGGTGATCATAGAATGTGGTTATGACAATTGGAACATATCCATCATCATCTGTGAAACAAATATTTCATAACGGTCAATCAACTCGTGATGGGGTCCGTAAATTTTTTTTTCGAAGGGTTGGCTTCTTAGATATATGATTTATGTTTTCGAAACGGCCACGTATTTCAATTTATCTTTTAAAAAAAAACGAAATACAGTGTTGTTGATTTCAGTTCTAGTAAGATGTTACAATGTCATCAAATTCCTGGAGGAACTTGACTCTGATCAAATGATATTTTCTTCCTGTGATCTATATTATAGATCAATAGATCAAATCCCAATCTCATTAAAATCCGATGTTATGATACGCTACACTCCTCTAAGGGTGTAGAGTATCGTAGCGAAAACTAACAGCTGATTTTAATGAGATTGATCAAATCCATAACTGTAAGACTGTGAACACTTTCAACTTTTCAGGTCCATTCAGAATATCAATTCAGAAGAGCAGTACTTGGACGATCAGTGGAAGATGATGTACAAAGAATTCACAATGAAGATACATTACCCGAGTTTGAATTAGGATACACACGATTAGAAAAGGACTGTCCATTCAATACAGAGAAAATTGCCGTTTGGTTAGGTGCAGGATATACTTGTTTTACATTGATTTGTGAAAAGACTGAAAACAGAATGTTGGCGGAGACGGTGCTAAAGGCATTAATCCGATTTTTACAACAACATGTCGGTTTATTGACTTCGCCAACAGAAGCCTGTACAAAACCAGAAAGAATATCAGTGATTTTGGACAAGTTTTTACCTCAAGGAAACTTACTTTTCATGAACCATAGAGTTATCAGGCAGCTTGAAAAAGAAACAGAGAGCATTATGAAACAATAAACCCGTTAATAAAATACACGTGTGTGGTCTCGATTGTCATGGTGAATAGCGCATTGCCACTTAAAAAGAAAGGCAAAAGTGGGTAAGGTTAAAATTCGGCCTTACAACATGTCGCATATTAACCATTCTAAAGAGCTGTTGCGCGGATTATTTAAAGTGTGTAGCACTGAACAATAGAGACGCGAAAGATACTAATTCGATATTACAGCTCATTAGTAGAAAACAAACTGACAATGCCATGACAAAAAAAAATTATTCGACCAGAAGACAAACAGCAGTAAACAAAACACAAAATAGAAAACTAAAGGCTGAGCCACACGAACCCCTCCAAAAACCTGGGGTGACCTCAGATGCTCAAGAAGGGAAAGCAGATACTGCTCCACTAGTGGCACCCGTCGTGTTGCTCATTTAAGTACAAACCTGGTAATAAGTCTAATTCAGTAGGTCACATTCGAGGAAAAGAAGACGGAATCACGGTTACGACAACTGAAACATATCCGTCGTCATCTGTGAAACAGATACTAGTATTCCATAACGGTCAACCAATTCGTGATGTTCAACATATGATATTGAGTTGTCTAATTTGCAATCATATACCAGATTTCATTTCAATACTCTTACAGATAGACTGGCCAGACATGATTGAATATGGGAACAGATATGCTTTTATCATTGTTCATACAGGATTAGTCTGCAATAACGTACACTTTATAGAACAAACACCTCGATTCCAATGATTTCATTTACTTAAAATGGGTAGACTTTACCACTGCTAGTAGATTGATAGTACCCGAGTTGTCCAAACGCGTTGTAGTCAGCACTTTGGCTATGGCATTAGTATTTCAGACATACTGTTTTGTAAAATATTTAAGAACAAATAGGCCTGTTTAAAGTCTAAGATTTTCTGGATTTTCAATTTAATATATCTAAATGATGATGTCATTATTAGATATATAAATATTAAAGTTTCACCGATTTAAATAAAACAAAAGGGAAAAATTTACATACAATACCAAGGGAACAATCATAAATCACAAGTCGATGAAAGTATGCAGACAATAGCATGGCCAAAAAGAAAAAAAAAGACGAAAAGATAAAACTAGAGTCTACAACGCACTACACAGAAAACAAAACTGAGGACTAAAACTCCACAAAAAACCCGGGTTTGATTATCATTTCTTTATATCTATTTCTGACCAGTTTTTCATCACTTTTTAAATACCTTCGAGATTGTTTTAAAATTGATAATTTCAGTCTTTATCTCAATAGCTTAAATGCATTTATTTTTAATTCTACCTACAGTTACGTTCAACTCCAAAAAAACTTTTTTTTTAAAATTCAATCATATTTCAATTACGCGCAATCATAGCTTATTAACGAATCGATTTTTGTTGTTGAAATTTTTCAATATTGCGGTATGACAAAAATTCGTCGTTTTTAATACTGAAAACATAACCAATAATAATTATCTCTAAGTCGACCACTATGAAAAAAATCAGCCAACATTTAACACTCATCTAATCTCGAGTTTTTTTTTATCGTTAGATGCAAACATTTAAGTACAGTTACGAGTATCTCCAATTTAGTTAAGCATCAAACAGAAATCCTGAGTGCTTCGTCTGAATGTAAATCTTGACATTAGTTATAAGTCGTTCCGAATTGGCAAAATGATCATATCTTATATTCATTATTTCTCGCGTCTTGCCACATCTGCTTTGGTATAAGGACTCTCAAGGCAGGGGAAGTGTAGCGGTGCCTCTCTTGACCTAGTATATATACAAAAACGCCCTTCATTTGGTGTAGTTGCGGAGTGTTATTTAGGTCAGTTGGTAGAGTTGTGGCTTACTGTACCAGGGATTCTGGGTTCGAACCTAGGCTGGTTCAGTGGTAATTTTAAAAATAAAGCCTGCTCTCCAGTTGATATATTTTTTTTCTGTATACAATTGCAGTGGTAAGAAAATTGTCTACAGCTTTCTTTCAACAGTAACTGTATAGTTTCAATGATTATATCGCGTGTAGCTTTAACTTTGCGACTAACTTAAATCAAGGAGGCTATATTATATCTAACTTTTAGTTAGTCGCCACTAATACTACCACGCAAATGTATTTATCGAACAATCATTGAACCCTTGAATTGGGTTACTTGTATGCTTAATCTCATTGAGTTGCTATACCACTGCTGGGGCGCAGTTTACGATCGCTGGGTCGGCACTGACACGATTTATTAGAAATTTTATGAAATATTCACAGTTCGGTATATATCATGGTTATATATTTTGTAATTTTGCTGTCAATAAGACCCAAACTTCTTGGGGTCAATGTGATCTTTTAAGTTTAGCTTGTGTTACAATTCCAGATGCTTATTAGTTTTCAAAGGTTAAGCTACATATATATAGGTGTACAATGTATTTTGTTTAGGTTATTCAAGAAAAGCACTTCGCATACAATAACTACACTAAACGAAGTTTAAATTATTGACATTTTATTATTTGCATTTAAGTTAGATTATAAATCAAATCTGTCCATCGTTTAAAAATTCAAATATACTTCCTATTGACGGGAGATCAACGTCAGATTTTTTGGTTTGGATTCTAGCACATGAAGTGTCTCGACATGTATTCTCTACAATTTTCATATGAACAGAAGCCTCTATATCATAATGAACAACATTATTCGTGAGACCAGTATTTGTTACAGATGGCCTGTTGTGGCAGAAGTCAGTGCATGTGTACTTAGATCCTTGGTCTTGGACTAAGCCACTATAATCACAATTCATGGATACTTTGATACTAGCAGACGGTCGTTTAACATCTACACGTGTTATATTTTGATCATTGCAACGTGTAATTTCTGGTTTAATCCACGGACCGACTGGAAATGTTACCTCCTGTGGATAATAATTGGAAGATGCATGAAAAACTCTCTGTGGCTGGTACCTATCATACTGTAAATGTGTTCCGGGGTAGTGCTTTTGATAGACAGGGGGCGAGTCATTCTGACAGTAACCATAATTATTCATGAGCGTGGCAGAATGATAGGACGGTGGACTAATATTTGTATACATATTCCCAACTTGAGAATTTCTCTGATCTGCCCATATAGGATTTGAGCAGTTCCGGGTATAATCTCCGACGTGTTCTGTTTTAATTGTCACTCCATTTATACACTCGGGTATCGTTTCGGGAGAAACTTGGTCATAAGTATAAAATGGCGGGTTAACTGGGGTTGGATGATACTGATAATTCGGTGAACTGCATGCATAATCTTGTAAAACTGGTTGATTGAACATCTGTTGACGACGTTTGAACTCTTGAAACTGTATCTGTTTTTCTCTTTGGGTAATCTTGTGAGCGACATGTGTAGACGGCAACACAGGCGAGTGACGATCCGTTAGAGAATGCCAGCTTGACGGACACGGATCAAGTGAATTGTAAAATGTCATGGACAGATCTTCAGTGAAACCCATATGAGGAGTACAGAACGATCCTATTTTTGAAGTGCCCTGTTGATCTTCATGGAAGGTGTCATCAGACTCACCAGAACAAGGAGCATATGGACTGCCAAACTGAATGAAATAAAGTAGATCGTTCATAGCATAACGTTGACGTAATGCTGATTCCTGTTGAAGAAATGTACTGTCTTCTTCCCTACAATATAGTAATAAACTAATGAGGTAAAAAAGTTTGTCTATGTCATCTCTCATTTCAGATAAAGTTACTTTCATCCTGTATCTTTTTCTCTTCGACCAAAATTTAGGTTTTATAACTAACGTAACAGTACCAAAATTGCACCCATTTGGCAAAAAAAAAAAAAAACAAACAAACAAAAAAACAGCGGAAATCTTACAAGTTTTCTTAGAGACTAAACAATTTGTATTTTTATGATTTGACATTATGCACGTCCTTCAACATAGCTAAATATATCTTAGAGACTAAACAATTTGTATTTTTATGATTTGACATTATGCACGTCCTTCAACATAGCTAAATATATTTAAATATACACAAAACGTGCACAGTATATATCAGCAGATGAAGTATTCACTGGAAAAGGTACATTTTAAAAATGAGCAATTAAAATATGTTACAGGCACTCATTTCTTAAAAAATGAATAGTAAATATTGACTATTGTCAAATTGTTCTAAATATTTGGAGAAATAGAACAAAACATCAGTTATTCGATTTTTACGAATGTAAATTTAAGCGTGGATGCAATTTGGGTACTCCTCATTACAGAATCATGATTGATCGTTTGGAGGTCGGTTCAAACCCATTTTTCTATGATTCAATATGGATTCAAAATTAAATTGGTGGAAATTTATTGGTAAAAAGGATACATCTTCAAAATAAACACAGAATTGAAACTTTTGTCTGGATCCCTATTTTTGACATTTTTACCTATTATGTCCGTTTGTTTTGTTCACACATTGCATACCTGCCAACTTTTCAAAATCTCCATGGGGGATTTTAAGCGCAAGAGGTCCTAACGCTCCTCTTATATTGTCATAAATGTTCTTAATCTACAACTATATTGTTTGAGTGAGTATGTATGTGCTTAAAAACCCTTTTAACTCATTCGAATGCCTGTTTTGAGGTGTTCAGTATATGTAATAAAGAATTTCATATTTCAGGTCAACACCTCTCATGGGGGATATCCCCCATAAATCGGGAAAGTTGGCAGGTCTGACATTGTTGTCAATATAATGGAATTTTATGCGACTGTCATACAAGTGAGAGGTTTAGCTAGCTATAAAACCAGGTTTAATCCACCATTTTCTACATAAGGAAATGCCTGTACCAAGTCAGGAATATGACAGTTGTTTTCCATTCGTTTGATTGTTTGAACTTTTGATTTTGCCATTTAATAAGGGATTTTCCGATTTGAATTTTCCTTGGAGTTCGGTATTTATGTTATTTTACTTTTTCATAAATAAACGTAGGTGAAAAAACTGTCAAATAGTCGCAATTTGGGTACCCTCACGTTAGATTCTTTTCAATTCTTTTTAGAGAAGAACCAACAGTGCGATTGGTGTCAATCTGATTAGAATACAGATCTTTTGTCCAAGCTTGGCTTCCTTGTATTTTAATCATATTGGATTGGTGTCAATATACTTACCCTGACGGAGTACATAATATCACCCACGGTTTTTATGTACTTTTGATTGTTCAGAGCTAATGTTTTATTATTAAATGTGGCTGTTTATGTATATATATATTCTTATTGTACATACGCATGTCTTGTTTCTCTTGATTTATCCCGTTCTTGTACTGTCTTACATGTGTACTTCAATTTTCGCTATTTTTAACGTTTTGTTTCAAGTTTTTTTTTGTCTGAAGACGTTCTAAAACGCTAACTTTGACTTTAAGTTGGTATTCCCTTATGTCAAATAAAATTCATTTCAGACCAATCAAACCTCCAAGTTGAAATTATTTTTTAGCTGCTATTTTTGTCTCGCCTGCGACGAAAGTCGCGGATATCGAGACATATGTATTGCTTTTCCGGCGGCGGCGGAGGATGCGTCAACAATTGTTAAGTTTTCTGCTGATGTCAGTTTGATAGGAACTATTTGTGATAGATCAATGATATTTTGAATAAAGTTGCATTTCTGTCAGTACATATCAGTTTGATGGCTATTTCGAGGCCCTGCCCCCAGGTCAAGGTCCAGCGACTTTCAATTAATAAGCAATTTTAAATGATAAGTTTTCTGCTTAAGTTAGTTCGATAGGAACTTTTGTGATAGATAAATGATATTTTCTAGAAAGTTGCGTTACTATCAGTACATATCAGTTTGATGGCTATTTCGAGGCCCTGCCCATCCCAACCCCCAGGTCAAGGTCCAGCGACTTTCAATTAGTAAGCAATTTTCAGTGTCAAGTTTTCTGCTTAAGTTAGTTTGATAGGAACTACTTGTGATAGATCAATGATATTTTTATTTAAAGTTGCATTACTATCAGTACAAATAAGTCTGATGACTACATGTATTTCGAGGCCCTGTCCCCTAGGTTATGGTTTAGAGACTTTTAAAATTGTTTCTATGTTGCTGTCCATCAGATTGTCTTTTTTTCGAATTTTCTGCCGACAGGCGAGACATATCTCTGTGTCAACAGTTTATTAGAGTCATTTTTCATGTAATTGGTATTTTTATTGGCTATTAGAAAAAAAAGCTTCTATCAATGAGTTTCTGCACCAAGACTATTTACTTACCTTACAGGACAATGTGTAAACACAATAGAAAACTTCTTGGAATTTTTACAAATGACTTTCCCGCGTGAATGAAGCCACACCCAACTTCCTTCCTTAGATTCCATTCGAAAATACATAGTTTGTACCTCTGTGCTTTCAGTTACTAGAAATAATAAGTAAACAAGTCAAACAAATATAACTAAAAGACAATCATTACGCATGCCCGAAAAAGTATATGCAGCTCCACCCCTCAAACGTGTTCAACCCCCAAAATGTGTCAACTTACGATCCAATCGTGTGCATTTTTAAAATGCCCGAACAAGTAAATCCCTGTGAAAGACGATTCCATTATCGTGTAAATTTTTGAAAACATATCCAGACAAGTAAATTTCATTCTCTATGTAAATAATAGAGTTTCCATAAAATGTTGGATTATTCGAAACACTAAGGTTTTTCTACGCCAGATATAGATTGGCTTAGCCTTATTTGCACAACTTTTTTGAATTTTCGGTTTACATGCTCTTCACTTTCGTATTTGATTTGGTCTCCCAATTGTTCTTGATTCGAGCGTCACTGATGAGTCTAATGTGTAGACGAAACAAGCGTCTGGTCTGTAAAATTATAAACTGGTATCTTTGATTAGTTTTTACAACCACTCGGTCGATCCCAGTGCTGGTGGACGTTTTGTCCCCGAGGGTATCACCAGTTAAGTAGTCATCACGTTTGTGTAACATGAAATTTCATTGATATGTTCATTTTTCTGTAAATTTACTGTTTATAAAATGTTGAATTATTCGAAACACTAATGTTTTTTTTTTTAAATTGACTCGGCATTTGGCACAACTTTTTGAAATTTTCGGTTTTTAATGCTCTTCCTCTCCGTATTTGATTTGGCCTTCCAACTATTTTCATTCGAGCGTCACTGATGAGTCTTATGTAGACGAAACGCGCGCCTGGCGTACAAAATTATAAGCCTGGTCTCTGTAATGAGTTTTTTTCAATTCTAAGAAAAAGATTTTTCAGGGATTTTACTTGTCAATAAATTATGGATAATTTGCGAAGGTACTAACATTGGAGATTTATTTTAATGGAAGTTTAGTATGGTCGTTGTTTGTTTGATCAAAAGAAGTAACTTTTATCTGCTTTCTTTAAGTGTAGTATACAAAGTTTAATATAAATAAATGTCAATGATGGGCAGGATAAAGTTAAAATTGAATGAATTCCAAAGGAGTGAGACCTGGTGCATCAACAAGTAGACCATCTCATAATAAACATGCATAATTGTCACCTATAGGAAAGCGATTTTCGTACTGATCAGCAAATATATAAAACTTGGTGAAAATGACTTTTTATTATGCCCCTCTTTGCCTAATCTGATACCGTTATCTCTTTCTTCACTGCGTACAGTGTCCTAATCCCTTGCCCTACCGAATCACCACTCCCTACAGTATCCACTGCTGAAAAAGAGAGGCGAAGGATACCAAAGGGACATTCAAACTCATAAGTCGAGAATAAACTGACAACACCATGACTAGAAAGACAAAGACAAATAGACAAACAACATTACACAAAACACAACATAGAAAATCAAAGACTGAGCAACACGAACTCCACCAAAAACTGTGGGTGATATCAGGTGCTCCGGAATGGTAAGTAGATCCTGCTCTACATGTGGCACCCGTCGTGTTACTCATGTTAGTACAAACTCGTTGGTAAGTCTAATTCGGGGAAAAGGGGGACGGGGTTGTAGTTACGACAATTGGAACATATCTGTTGTCATATGTGAAACGGATATACCATAACGGTTAACCAACTCGTGATGGCGTCCGTAAAATATACGAAGGGACGATTTCAACTTCACCACTTGGAACTCTTGGTTTAATAGCTTCCTTGTGAGCAGCAGCCCTCTATCAAGGAAATCATGATAGGAAATACAAGCCCTGGAATATCGTATCAACTGGGAGATATATACTCCGTATGCTGGAATGTTGCTATATAGAAATGGAAAGTTCACAATTGGGAAGCTGAAATCATCTCTTCTGTTGTAAAGTTTTGTTTTCAACCGACCATCATTGTCAATCTTTAGATGTAAGTCAAGATATGAGGCAGACTTAATTGTATCTGTTGTATCCTTTACGTTCGATGGGATAGATGCGTTCAACAGACACCAAATTTTGAACTATTTAGTGAGAGAACATCATCTATATAGCGGAAATTAAAGTATACTGCTAACTTCATTTCTTTCTACCGAAGAAGTTCCTGTATGAAGTCAGCCTCATATGAATAAAGGAAGAAGTCGACAAGAAGAGGAGCACAGTTAGTTCCCATGGGAATGCCGATTGTTTGTTAGAAAACACGTCCTCCAAACGTAACAAATATGTTGTCAATCAAGAAATCAAGCATCTTGATTATGTCAGTTTCAGAGAATTTTTTGTTTGAATCAGAGTGATTTTTTACAAAGTACGATTTATCCCTCCCTAAGACAAGAAACTTGTATCAACGTAGGCCGTTCTTTTTTATGAAACAAAGCAGGACCAACTCTTTCAATTTGTCTTTTAGTTTGGAATGGGGAATACTTGTGTAAAGTGTAGAAAAGTCAATTGTTTTAATACTATTGCAAGATGAGTGAGTCTTAGATTGTATATGTACTCTAAAAGATCTTTGGAATTTTTTAGTATCCACATCTGATTCACGCCACCTCTAGAATAGGTAGTTTCGCAATAACTTTGAAGCCCGGATTTGATTGCTGATAAAATTGGTGTTAATAATTCAGAAAGAGGTTTCGTGGAGCACTTGGAAGTCCCAGCAATATAACGTTGTTTGTAAGGACACTTATGTAGTTTAGGTATCCAATACAGTGAAGGCCAGTTCTTCATCTTTGGTTGAAATTCCACAGGAACATAGAACAGACCTATGATTATCCAGGATTTCCTCCTTGGTAAGTGTCGTAGGGGTATATGTTGAGTTTCCAAGTGAATTTTCAATACCTAATTCATTTATCAAGCAGTTTATGTAATGTGATTTACACACAAATACGATGTTGTTTGGGGCTTTATCTGCGGGGACAACAACATATTTGTCATGGTGGTAGGACAGGTGTTTTGCAACATTTGGGTTAAAGATTGATGTAGCATAGGTATTCATAGACCCATTTAGTTTTTTTTTAATTCTGATTTGTATCAACGACCTCACAGCCTTGATCCATTCGGAAAAGTATCTACGTCTTCTTTCTCGCGTTTAACCCATTGCCTGGCATAATCCTCGACTGAATCTATCAGTAGCAATTAAAATATCTTATTTGTGACAGGATTTGTGCAATAGTTAAAACTATATCACTTTCGTGACGATTGTAAGTGTCCTCATTCACAGATATTTCACTAAATCGTTTTGCTGTATATACATTGAAAGACGTTTGAAATATTCCGCAATTTCTGGGTTGAAAAATCCATCATCAGACTGGTTTTCCTGATTTTACAAGTTATTACAAAAAGAAGAGAAGGAAGTGAAAATGGAATACAATTTGACATGCTTTGGTGATGTGCGATTTAAAGGACATGTTTAGCGAAATAAACATGTTTCGACGAAGTGGACACTTCTCATTTGTTTGTATTTTTTTGGGTGGCACAGGGCGGACACGGGTGAGAGTGTTACAAATATACTGCAGTTATTTACTTATTTATAAATAGCATAGATGATTTTTGCCTGGCACATGCAGACAATTTGAGTAATGTTCGTGTAAACTTTAATCCTGACATAACTAGACTTACTATAAATTATTTAGCAATGAAACAACAGTGAATAAAGATAAACTCCAACATATAAGTGCTATATTGAAAATAAATACCAAAAATGCTTACATGTTTTGTGACAAGCTGCAAATGTAGCTAAATCCTCTGGATGTACAAACTGATAAAATGACTTTTCTTTCAGATCATCATCCATGTACCCAATCATTTCTTCTGACCTGAAAAATAATAAACTTTATTCCAAACTTGTGTTAAACTTTATACTGAATATTTTATTTTATGACAAAAGTAACAATCTCGATTTTATTTTTTGTATTTGAAGATTGTTTTCCCTTTAAAAAGCAGCAATTTAAAGTTATTCTCAAACTGAATACCTCAGAGTATGTACATTATATACTTTTGAAATAATAATGAAGCTCATGATCTTAGAAAATGTTTGTTACACTTTTTGATTCGTATTCTATTGCCTTATCTTTTTTTCAGAATTTTCATAACAATAGACACAAAGAGAAGCTACTAGTGCTTAATTTTCTCGAAAAAAACATTTACTAACTTTTTATCAAACTCCTTAATTGTAAGTCCCATATCATGTTTACTCCAGAAAACATTCTGTTTAAAATCCTCAACAATATCACTTCCGGTCAGCATGAAAGGTTGGCAATAAAGTAAAACAACGTCTGGGCTAGACTTCGATTGGTTACTGTCATTAGGTCTTTGGATGGAGCCCGAGCAATGAATTTTCTGAAAGAATAAGTTGGGTAATATTATATGAATTCGTTAAAAAAGAAAAACGCAATGTTGTAATAAAAATATGAAACTAATTTGTTCACTTGAATAAAAGCAGTTGATAGAAATCAATTTAAAATATATAAACTTGGTATTATTGAGACTGAGTGAACGATCTTGAAGGTACAAACATTGCTTGGGTTGATATTTGAAACGTTAATAAGCGGAAAAAATTTAACTTAAGATAGTACAGATGTCTTAAAATTGTGTCGGCCAACTTTTATCTAAAATCTGTTGGTAAAGATATGTTTACGGAATTAGCGAATAATTAATTTAAAATGCATTTCATTTCCATGTAATTTGCAAAGATATACAACAACGTATTTATTATTTTATCACATTTGAAGGGAGGTAAAGTTATGTAACAAGTCAACTAGAATTGTAACTCCCATTTCTCTATTATTTTCCGAACGAATTTCTTATTTTCTAACAATCGAATAACCCCAATGTTATAATAGTCAACCTTCATCACCATCTGACAAGAGATGAAGGTGTACGAATTTTTTAATGTCGTGTTTCTTCCCGATCCCCATTGTTTATGATCTCATTTAGACTTTTTATCAGAGTAAAAAAAAATATCAAGGGTTGTCATCATTCATTCAAATGAAAATGGAATCCAACACAATATATTTCAAGACGAAAACAATGTGATGAAATTAAATTTTAACCGCTTTTGTTTTTGGTATTATTTCTTGAAGTAAATTCTCAATACAAAAAAAATACTTATTTACATTTTTGGATATGCAATTTAGGAAAAAAGTTAACCATTGATGTTTCCTCTTTTCTTCAAGTATCAAACAGACATAAAATCCCTCTAGAACTAGGTACTTTCTCGAATGAAAATGAAGAAGAAAAAAGACCTATAAAAATCACTCATCGAATATATCAACTTATAATTAGTACGCTAGACCCTTTCAATAATCACAAGCATTTTTGATTGAAACTGTGCTTAAATTTTAAATTAAATAACGTCAACTTAATTATTCAAATGTACACATACCAGATAGCCAGCAGATGTTCCATTGAAACATTTCATTCGACATATAAATGATACTTGTCTCCAATTACACCCAGGGTGTTGCTGAAATTATACACATTTAGTATAAACAGTAAAAAACGAAAAATGGTGTAGCTATGAACAACTATGTAAAAATTGGTAGAACATTGCATAATAGAATTGACTTGTTACTATTGTATGTTCATTATTGGAGTGGTAAAATCCAACTTGATGGCCACATGACACAGTTACTAAAAGCTAGTTCAGAGGAATGTTTTAACTAATAATTAAACCATGTTCTCCCAGACTAAAATGTCAATCACATAAAAAGTGCTTAATAATCTCCCTATTTTACTTCCTGTTCTCAAACAAAATAGTTCTAACTTAAAATTCAGCATATGTATCGGGGTATGTGTTCTCATACAAGACATATATAGTTAGGTATGGATCAAGTCAGGCTATCTGGATCATATGTCAGTGTTCGTTATTATTCTTGCCTTAGTTTGTATTTTTGTTTGTTTTTTTGATGACTTTGTTGTTAGTTATCAATGTTTTATGTTTCACTGTCCGGTATTTTTGGTACCTTTTTTATATATTATGACGTTTCATCCATTTGATAATATCCTTATGTTAAACACACCAGAAAATATGGCAATCTCAATGTGACTTACTTGTAAAGCAATCAAGGTTTTGGGGGTTGCTCATTCATTAGTTTTCTATGTAGTGTTTTTGTTTGTTTGTTTTTGTTTTTTATCTTTTCGTCTCTTTTCCTATAGGCCATGGTGTTGGCTTTCCCTTTTCGGTTTATGATTCTGATAACCATCTTTGTACCTTCTAGTTTTTCACATTATAATACAGAGAAATCATGCACTGGCTTAACCTGAGTTTATTTTTCAAAACTAATATTTAAACAGACATTGGTCAACGAGCTAAATTTACACAAACAGACAGGCTTAATTTCAATAATGAAAACCAAATATGAATTCCAAAAGTTCTGAGAATCTTATATCAAAAGAAAAATTTTTGTAGTGGCTCGTGTTGTTAATTGATAATTTTCTTTTCCGCTTAAAGAACATAATCATTTATATTATGCCTTTGTTGAGATTAAATTACCAGATCAAAACATCGCTGATTGATCAAGTTTTGAACTGCTTCATGCTTCCTAGGATACAATATTTATATCGACTAATCTTACCTTTGTCACATTCTTTAAGTAATTATTCTCTAAGATATTTATACCGACTAATCTTACCTTTGTCACATCCTTTATGTAACTATTCTCTAAGATATTCTTCAAGTCTTGGTGGTCTTCTGGGTGAACTAATCCATACAAACAACGATGCATCAGGTCCACCTATTTGCATGTAATATATTTGATAGTGGCGTATTACTTCTCTTCATCGTTTAAGTTGTCGTGATTGGATTTTTTTCTATTTTTTTTTACATTAAAATGATTGCCTCTTGATTCCATTTGGTGCGTGCAGCAATTTAAATAACTCATCAGTTAAAAATCATATTTTTTCAATTAATTAATCCGTTAAACAAAGATTGTATCATGGTCCTTTGTGACACTCTTGATATAGTTGCACTCCTCCAGTTTATATTCTTTACCCCAACTTTGCAACATCTCAGTTTTTTTGATAAAACTCGCAATTAATCCAACCAATTTTGCAATTTAATATTAATTAAAACACGGAAAATAGAAATAGTTAAACTTTAAATGATCTAAAACAAAACAATAAAAAGCAATGCTAAAATTGTATTTTCTTTACAAAACTTACCTGGTTAAAACCTAAATATTGTAATACGTTATCTGTAGAGTAAACTATAGTACCATCTGCAAAGGCTGCCAACAGAAAACCATCCAAACACTGAACAGACAAAAAACAATGAAATATTTGGAGACACATTATAAATACAACCGGTTTAAAATAAGTTTAGACACATTCTTAATGACACAAGTGCACTTTTGTTTTCATTTGTATGTAGGACAGCGTCCATATGAAAAGTCAGATAGCTATATTTTGGTTTACAAATTTGAAAATGATATAAAAATCCGCAATGACATTGAGCTAAGCAGCCAAAAATATATAAATAAAAATGGTATTATTTTTTTGTGTGTTTCACTTTGATTTGCTATTCTCTGTGTGTTTTCATTAAATACAAGTAATGTTTCGATTTATTGTTTATGGTTACTGTGATTTTTACATAAAACCATTCTCTATCATTAGCTGTATTTGGCAAAACCTTTTGGAATTTTTGGTCTTCAGTGCTCTTCAATTTCGTACATTATTTTGCCTTTTTAACTCTTTTGATTCGAGCGTCACTGGTGAGTCTTTTGTAGACGAAACGCGCGTCTGGCGTACACAATATTCATCCTGGTATCTATGATGAGCTTATTCAAAACGTTTTTTACAAAGATAAACATCACATTCGACGAAATGTTCCAATGCATCATTGTATATTTTTACTTACTTGAAGCACTTGTTTTCCTCCAACATTCCCAAGTGAATCGTCTTTTGCTGGTATTTCATTATCTGATAATTGTTGTTGCTTCAAACCAATGACTAAACAAAGTAATAAGGAAAACCGTTTATTCGTCTTTATTAAAGATAGATGTATTCATTTTCGGTATTGGATGGGGTTAGGAATACTTTTATGTGATAGTGACCAGCAACTAACTATTTACTAGTGAGAAAACCAAAATGCTGAGGGAAATTTATCTTCACTTTGGACATTCTTTGATATAAATATGTTAAGAAGTGGTTTTACAGAAAACAGAGATTTTAACATTTATATTGGAAGGAGTAAGATTTTAATATTTTTTTCCTTGGTTCATCTCATACATTTACCGTGGTCATATGTTGCTTTGTGAAACACAGATTATGCATCGACTACAGACGGTTTAATAATACATCACTTAAAGATCCGTATTCATTGCCAAGAAAGATTATCTAAGGCAAATTATTTTTTACAGTTTTTAATATTTAAAGTATATTATGAATTTTTAAATTTACGCATTTCGCATATTACAGATGATACCATCCTCCAACTTGAATGTACGTTTTGATGATTAAACATTTTTATTTGTAGAAGGATGATTTTGAATATTTGAAACACTGTGTTTTAGCTAGCAATAAAACCAGGTTTAACCGATCTTTTTCTTCGGAAAATGCCTGTATCAAACCAGGAACATGACAATTGGTTTTCACTCGTTCCGTTGGTTGATAGGTTTTGATTTTATCAGTTTTTATGGACTTCCCCTTTTGAATTTACATTGTATTTCGGTATTTTTGTTATACTTTTTTTCTGATCATAATCCGCATTATTAACCCATACTATGCATGTTTACGACAAGAGGTACATGAACAAGTTCCCCTGTCACATACATATTATGTTAATTCCAATGACTTGAACAAAGAAATAAAAGACGACACACAATTTGGAAAGCAGCTGTTGGTTGAATACTGCCCCTCAAGAAAACAAAAAGTCATTATTCAACAATTCATGCAAATCGTCAGGTTTAGTGGTTGAAAAATTGCAAAACAAAAGACATGTTCACTAGTATTAATATATGCGAAGGTTGTGTGATGACTGGACAACCCCCTTGTATCGTGTAAGAAAGTGATAGTTGTAACTTCAACTAAATGTATGTCCTCTTACTTGAAGCAAGTTAGAAATCATCCTCTCATTAAAGAATGTTTGGTGAACATTGAACAAGAAGTTTATTTTTCTTGTTAAAAATGGTTGTGGCAAGTGACTTAAATCGAACGACAAAAATCACGTAGGCGCAACATCGTTACTACTCCCTTCTGCAGATATATCATGAGCTCAAATATTGTAATATTTCCTGGCAGAGGGATTTTTTATTATTAAAAGTGATAAAAAAATGTACTTACTTTTAAAGAACATCTTTAATCTGAAGAAGGAAATGATAAGTCTGAAGACTGTCTGACTGTCAAGTTTCCTGTGTAATGATGATCTGTCTATTGGTATTAATCCTTCTAAACCTTTTATTTCTGTCCGAAGTTTGTCTCTGTATCGTTTGGATTTGAAACTGAAAAACGTTAAAGTAAAATCAACGATCGATATAAAATGTTAAAAAGTTATCTTTCTTTGACGAAGTATTAATAAGATTAAAAATTTCCTACGTTTATGTGTACTTTAAATTGATACACATTTTTATCAATGAATATATAATTGTATGTTTAAATGACTTTTGCTATATCTTTCTTTATGTCTGTTTGTAGAAATAATTATAATATTTTCCTCCCTTTATTGCAAACACGCATGGTCGAAAATACTTTACATAGTGTGGCGGAACTGGCAGTATGGCCGCTACGGCTATGACCGAAACGAATATGGCCGAATTCGCAGTGTGGCCGAAACGTCTTGCATCGTTTAACATTTTTTTCTTATGTTTTGCTATTACACCACTAACGTATCATTTAGTGGTTGTCGTCAGTTGCTATGTGCGAGTCATATTTAGTTCAAGTTTGTTGTTTTAGCCTTAAATCAGGCCTATGGTTTCTCTCGTTTCAATTGTTTCTCAATTTGTCATGTCGAGATCTTTGAAAGCTGACTGGGTTTTTCCCATTCTTAAAGCCGTGCGGATTAGTGACCTATAGTTGCTTACATCCACGCCATTTGGTCTCTGATAGTTGTCTAATTGGCAATCATACGACATCTCCTTATTTCTGAGTTTTTATTTTCACTTTGGTCTTTCCCGCCTCTTTGACACATACACACACATAATCAGTGGTTGTCGTTTGTTGCTGTTTATATATTATTTGTTTTTCGTTTATTGTTTTGTACATAAATCAGGCCATTAGTTTTCTAGTTTGAATTGTTTTACATTTGTCATTTTTGGGCCTTTTAATGCTTTCTATGCGGTATGGGTTTTGTTCATTGTTGAAGGCCGTACGGTGTAAGTTGTTAACTTCTACGTCATTTGGTCTCTGGTGGAGAGTTGTCCCATTGACAATTCTACCACATCCTCTTATTTTTATAGTCATGTCATTCAGACTTTGCTACTGGATTTGAACACGTAACAGTTTTGTAGAAGCATGTAGATGACCCTTACAAATACTTTTCCTTTGATGGTGATTTAAGGATAAATACATGACAGCATTTGTACATCATATAGATGTTCAACATTCATCTGATTGGATGAAAAACATATATTCCAAATTTCATTCTTTATTCCAGAGACATGAAATACCATTGTTTGGTGATTCTAATTGGTAAATTCTCCAATTCATCACCTCGGGAACTATCAAGAAAATATTTTCGAACTTTATGATAATTATGCTATTGACATCTGCCACAATGATTCCTCTATTATCCGGTGCTTATCAGTTGATTTACTTGATTGGTGTCCTATAGTCCTATAACTACACAAGTCCCAATCGAATCTATGGAAAATCGAAAAATTTCCGTTTTGTGAAGTTCTCCAATTTGACCATTTCAAACAAATTGGAAGGAGGTTTCGAGGATTCTTATAAAAATTCCCCATTGTGTTTTGATCGTAAAACAATGAGGCTAGTAAAAGAAATTCTTTATTCTGGCAGGGTTTAAATCCTAGTTCTGTTCCAAAATATTGTAAACATTATCCATGCATGTATGATTAAATAGAATTTTAGGCCACGGAGAGCGACAGAGGCTCAATGGAGACGCTTGTTTTCTAACCAAGGAGTTCGCCATTCATCTTAAGACCGAAGTTAATGTTGTATGTAGCGAGATTGAAACGCCTTATACAAAAGTTGCATCTGCACAGGCTTTTTCCAGTCGATAAAACAGCAAAATGTAAAAATAATCTTTTAATTACATCAATTTCGTGCAAGAGCCCTGAGACCAAAGCTAACCTCAGTGCCGTTTTCTGGATAATTTTATTCACAAATGATATAAAAATAAGGAGATGTGTAGTTGCTAATGAGACAACCATCCATCAAAAACCATAAAAACGAGTATGCAAACAAATATAATGTATTAAAAAAAACCATTCTAGCTTGATATTACTACGCCACAGGTAGGTTACATATGATTTCGTAAAAGAGATGATAAAGAAGCATCGAGATACTGTCAACATGTTAAACTAATTAGAAAATATGACTTATCAATGAAAGATATACAATATGAAAGTAGAAAAATGTTATGTGAAATTAGATATGATCAGTGTCGTAACAAAACATACTGTATCAAATTAGATATGATCAGTGTCGCAACAAAACATACTGTATCAAATTAGATATGATCAGTGTCGCAACAAAACATACTGTATCAAATTAGATATGATCAGTGTCGCAACAAAACATACTGTATCAAAACAAGAAGCGGAAGATACCAAAGGGATATTCAAAACTCATAAGTTGAAGAGAAACTGATAACGCCATTGCAAAATAAAACCGACGAAAAGACAAATAGGTCCACAAAACACTAAATAGACACTAAAGACTGAGCAACACGAACCCCACAAAACGTTGGGTGATCTCAGGTGCACCGGATGGCAAGGTAGAAGCTGCTCCACTAATGCCACTAAATTATGCCACGGGAGTGAAAACAATCGGAGTTGTATTGACATTAAACAAGAAGTATGACTAGGCTCGTCGAATAACATCAAACAAGAAGTATGACTAGGCTCGTCGATTAACATCAAACAAGAAGTATGACTAGGCTCGTCGATTAACATCAAACAAGAAGTATGACTAGGCTCGTCGATTAACATCAAACAAGAAGTATGACTAGGCTCGTCGATTGACATCAAACAAGAAGTATGACTAGGCTCGTCGAATAACATCAAACAAGAAGTATGACTAGGCTCGTCAATTAACATCAAACAAGAAGTATGACTAGGCTCGTCGATTAACATCAAACAAGAAGTATGACTAGGCTCGTCAATTAACATCAAACAAGAAGTATGACTAGGCTCGTCGATAGGATTTCCCTCTTTGCACCCATCGTCTGTCATACGGTTTAACGTTATCTCCTTCAGCAAGTTCACAGCCATTTTGATGATAAAACAAGTAATTCTGTCAAATGGACGGTATGGGGAAATGTTTAATCTTTGATAAAGTTAAAATGTCTAGTATGTTGAGTAACTGAGAGACTATAACGGCCAATCTTCGATGGCGAACGTAGAACTTGTGTAAGTCGTGTTAACCAACCATATTTAGATTTAAAGTTGCAAAATTTATTTATTTATTTATTTATTTTTATTTATTTATTTATTTATTTATTTATTTATTTATTTATTTATTTATTTATTTATTAATATTATTTTTATTTTGTTTTTTATCAATGTATTATAATATTTTTAATCATTTATTTATTTGATTCATCTAAGTTTATCAAGTCTGTAGACATTGCAATATAAATTCAATTTAAACTATATAAACAGGATTATACATGGAAGTTCTAATTTTCAAAACCTTTTCCATACTGTTTACTAAAATTTGAATAATGTGTTCCTACATGTCTTCACGCTGTGTATACAGAACTCTTGAAAATTCCTGTGTTATCTCAAGTATTCTATGTACTGTGACATACTAATCGTCTGATGGATTTCAACACTCTTAGGGAAAAATTAACGTTCATCAAATCTCATCCGGAAATTTTTACAAATAATGTTTTACCTTTTTCTAGCGGTCGTGATTTTTTTAAACGAAGCAATGTAATTTTAATTTTTTTTAACTATATATATATATATATGTTTGATTTTTTTCACGTTATTGTTATGAACAGTTCCGGTTATTGCTTCAGTAATTTTTTGATAACTTTTCTAGACTTATAGTAAATTGGAGCTTTTGTATAAACCCTTATCTATTAGTTGAAGACCTATTTTGATCTATAGATGTGTTTGGTATTTTGTATCAGTGAGTTTGTACTTCATTGGTGTATATCGTTTTTGAACCGTCTTACTCATGACCTATGTTGGTCAATTATGCACAATTCTAGACTCCGAGTTCATAATACTTCGTAACAGTCCGCTGAACCAACAATCCCGCTTTGTTGGGATGTCACGTTTTTTAACAAGAGCTTTCGAATGACGCAAAGATGAAAAATGCGTTTTATCTGTTAATGCCAACTTATTCTTCCAATATTTTAATACTTTTTGATTTTCCAAAGATTTTGCTATGATGCCTTGTACGCGTCGAATATAGTTTCCTCGATTTAAGGATGTACACACCTCTGAGGAGCCAAAAATTTCTAGAATTAAACTTTTTTCTTAACCTGATTTTTGGGTTCATATGACTGTAAAAAAATAATTGGTGAAGAAAAAATCATATGGTTGTGCACTTCTTTTTTTGCTACGGCCATTTGAAAGTACCTAATTTTGATGATTTTCCCATTTTTCATCATTTTTTACCCATTTTGGGGCTATTATCATGAAAAAATTCATAGTTTCACAGTTAAACTTTTTTTCATACTTTCACTAAAGATGAAGTGGACCAATCTGAATAAATTTAACTTAAAAAAACTATAGGTAGGTGTTGATATAAGAAAGTTTTATAAAATTTTGTTACTTTTTCATGTCAAAACCATGCTGTCAATTTTGTAAATTTGGGATTTATTTCTTTTTTTAAACAAAAAGCATATTATTTCAACTTCTTTGTTATAAATGATTGAAAAATACATATCTTAGAAATTTGAAAAGAAAAAAATTGGTATGGGATGTACATGTTTCTGGTAAAATCATTTCTTGTGTCCCTCACCCATTTTCTTAACATTTTGGCTAATGAGACTGACTTGATTGGTTATAAAACTTGAAAATCTTATTACTCAAAAACTTCTTATTGTAAATACACAATTTTTTCACAGAGTTAAGTTTGATTATAATATTTTTTGAATTCATTGATATTTTCCACTTGTATCACATGTTTTGGAAATAATTCCAGAACGAGATTTCAACGAGATTGAAACGTCAGAGGAATACATCCTTAATAAAAATTCAGAGCATGGTTACGCATTTTCAACATATGGCATATGTCCAGCGTACAGGGTTACTACTAACGTTAATAGTCCTAGGTTACATATGTCCAGCGCATGGTTACATATGTCCACGTAAGTTTCAAGGGGCATCCATTTCTGAACCAATATCTTAAGAAACTTAAACATCCACACTATTGTTCATTGCTTTTATGTGCATAAAATGTTGACTGATGATAGTTTCTATGACTGATATTTAGTCATCTCCGCTTAATCTATGTTCCACCTATGATTTTGCACCTTTAAATATGGTTTTTGAAATGCATTTCATCGAACGATGATTTCCTTTTAACCTTATATATTATGATTCTTGGCAATTCATATGTGTAAAATAAAAATAGTCTAGTCTTTTAATTAAAATGTAAACTTTAGTCAAAGAAATAAAAATACGAGTGAAAATTCGTGCGTGTCAAATTACAAATCATATATTAGATAGACAAACAAAACTTTTGAGAAAATTTGAGTGGTTATGCTTAATTCTGGTCAATAATTACTGAGGAATCGTGTAGCATTTTGTCCTTACTTCAAAATTTCTGTCACGATCCCTACTTTGGTGGGTTAAATCTTTGGTCGCGTGTTACAGTTGAGCACTAAAATCAACACGAACAGTGTGGTATATATTCTGTAGCATTTCATTTCCTCTAAAAAAAATGCAACAATTCAGTAGTGGAAATAATTTATTGCAAAATAAGGTCAGTTTGTATTTTTCTACGTTACATGTTTTCTATAAGGTCTTATAAGGGAATTTCTATCTATGAAGATGTATGTTTCCTGTGTTATACCTGTGCACTTTTCTGTAAACCTTTTCAGTATTCCTTTTATAAATTAGTTTCCGACGATGTTATTTTCAATTTTATTCAATGACTATTTTTTACCATTTTACTTTTCTGTATAGCCTTAAATATAACAAAAGGCGCTTCTATCGAAAACAGATATCATCGAAGTCCCAACTCCCCTTTCCGCCCACTCGAACAGTTTCAGTTATTTTCTTTCGTTTGAATTTTAACTAATCTATCCTTTTTCAAAGTTCCGATGGAAGTTTTTACTATCTGCTTTAAATATTTAATTTTTGCTTCTTTTTTTAATGGGGGGAGGGGGAGGGGGACACCGAGGAATATCTCATTTGTTTTTGTATTTAATTCTACCTTTTGTAATTTTTTACTCTGACTATTATAATATTTCAATTTAACTTACTGCGACAACGCTTCGAACAGACAAGACAGTCTTAATATTTTCTTGTGTGTAGTCTGTTCATATATAGAAAGCAACCAATTTACTAAACCAGCACTTATCCGAATTAGCCTATACTTTGGTCCTTTTTGGTTTATCAGCTCTTCAACGTTTGTAACGTTTGTAAAAGTTTTGGATTTTCAAATATTTGGCCTCGAGCATCACTGGAGTCATTGATTGACGAATTGCGCATCTGGTGCAGTGAAATAGGTACCGCTAATATTATTAATCAACGAGGAGTCCCTTACATCATTGGGGGATTACAGATCAAGGGGTTAAAAACCGAAAGGCATATATAAATATTCGCGGTTTTCAATAAAAGCTTTAAAACAAAGATAAGAAATTATTGTTTACAAATCGGATATACATACAAATAAGAAGAGACACACATTTTGAGTTGTGTCAAACCTTCATGTCTTCTATAACATAAGAAAGAATGAGAAGATCGTAATTTCTTTTGTGTAACGATCACATTTATGATTGCTATTTATTGTAGACTGGAATAAGTTATCTGACGTTATCAAAGCTTCATATTCCATACGTGGAGGCACTTAATGATTTTGCGCAGTTAAATTATTTCTCTTTGGGCACTACAGCTGGAAAAAATTATTATACTAGACTCGGTTTTAGTGATCTTCACTTGAAATATAAATTTCAAATTGTTGTAATATTGACATTCCATTACACTTTTTATATTTCTGTCCGAGTTTTAATGATAGAAAAATTAGCAATTGAGATATATACCCAAAATCTATTTTCGTGTCAATGTAAATGCATTTAAATAGCCTCCAAACTATATATAACTGGAATCTGGCAATGATAAAAAGACAGCAGTTGACACGAATATTGAAATATCTGACATACATGTAGTTTAATTAATTTTTGCAACGTGAACGGTTAATTTTTAAATTAGACAAGATTTAAAATGTTTTGACTTCATAATTTCATCACAATATTCACATTTTTACAAAAATTAATGAAAAGTGCTGATTTTATGCAACTTTTTACATATTTTTCTTTGTTGAAACATCTTCTACTTATAATAACAACAAAACATGTTAGAGAACCTTTCTATATAGCTACATGTAAAGGATACCATTTGATATTCTAGGGACCAGGGGGATTTTGGAAATAAATAATCTGGCTTGGTAATAACTGGGAAAAATAACCTTGCCCAAGACAGGATGAAAAGGAAAGTTCTGCCTAATAAAATGCAGGAAATATTCGTGTGCAAAAGTAAAAATATTTTTTTGCGCAACAAAGCCACGCGAAATAAATAAGCTGTACTAGCAACAGGTAAAAATGAATAATCACCGCGAAAAAAATCCCTGTCCCTCCCCTCAAGAAAAAGAATCTTTATGTGCCCGTACTTTTCCAAATTTCCAAATATAATCAAAAGTTTCTACAAATATACTCAAAATTAAATTCAAATATATTCAAAAGTTAATCAAATACATGTATACTCAAAAGTTGATACACACAGGGAGGTTTGTGCACCCGTAAACCTGGTTTAACCGTCTATATTTTACGCCTGTACCAAGTCAGGCAATCTGGACCATGTGTTGTTCCAGTCCGGTTGCTGTTTGTTGTTGCTTGCACGTCTATTTCTTATTTTCAGGGGAGTCTGGTATTGGTGGTTGCTATGGTCTGTTGTGTAATTTTTTGTTTTTCTTTTCTTCAAGTATTACAAAATAAGGAAAACCAAGAAATTTTACTAAATATATTCATTTCATCATAGATTGGTGTCGTGTTAATTCGTCAAATGCAAAAATTGCTTATATATTTTTTTAAAAACCTAAGTCATATTAGGTTAATTTACTAGTAATATAATATTTTAGAAACCTTTAAATTTGCACTACACTTTTATCCAAATATGGACCTTATTGCCCTTAATCCTTTATCATTTCGTGTACATTCTCGATGAACAGAGACCATTGGTTCTCAGAAGCCTCTTCTTGGTAATAAAAATTCCGGATAGTTATGAACAAAATGGTCTTTATCGCTTTTAAACATTTCTTATGTCCTTTAACTATTTTTTATCATGGAACTTTTTTAGTTAGATTTTCCTAGTCGAATAAAGACTACATCGTTTTAACTATATAGACCAATTTTGGCGAAATGCTGTTTGCTTTGTTGCAAAATAAAAACGCTCTACCGGAAAATTGACAGTTGTGTTATTCACTTTTTAGGAAATATACTGTACTTCTTTTCCTAAAGAGGACTCTGAACATGTCTGAAACATTTTCCAGAAACAGTCTGAGACACCAACGGCGCTTGTAATGATGCGTTAACTTGTTCATAAGGGTAATACATCAGTTTGATGTCCTGTAATTTGCTCTTTCTCGACATGATCCTTACAGAATCTTTTTTATTTGCTGCTTTAATACGCTTTAAATATTGCCCCGAAACTTTCGGCGAGAAACAGGTGTTGTGCATTCTATTAATTGAAATTATTTTGTATGTATTAAAATTATCCTATCTCTTTTGAAATAAGAGCATCGTGTTTTTTTTTTCAATTTTGATGAAATATTTAGATGGAATACTTGTAAAAAATAAATTCGTGTAATTCCCAAAACACCACATCAAAAAAACTAAAATGAATGATGAAAAAACAAACAAACAAACAAATAAATTAACACACACAAAAAACCTAAGAACTATATAGAGGCAGTCTGTTATATATTTTCCTCCAATGGTACATTGTTTTTGGTTTGAGCTGCATAAAAGGGTTGACATACATTTATCTAATTTATTTCTGGTGGATTCAAATGGAATAGTACCTTCTGATTTTTTTCTTTATCATATGGAAGAATACTGATAAAATAATATCTTTTTGCTTTTAGACCAGTTTGCTTTATACTTCACTGCAAAAAATGTAAAAAAAAACAAAACAAAACAAGTAAACGTTAGGTGGATTCATGCTTACTTCATCACCAAAATTTAACACAGGACCGACCCAATTTTTGGATTTTGCAATAGACATAATATTGAGAACCAGCAGATTTTATTCAAAGAACCATCACAGAAACAAAGGTTTCGAGAACTCTGTAGTACATTCTGGTCCCTGATTTGTTAATATCACTTCTTGGGGTTTGGGAATACTCTGTAATTCCGTAATCTTTAAAACCAAAATATCAAATCATTAACATTAAATGAAAGATATTCATTATATTTTTCTTCTAAACGTTACACTTTTTATAGTGAACTGTTCAACCTTTCTGTGCATTTCCATTTTGAGATAAAGATCACATTAAATTTTTTACAAATTATAGAAGCTAAGAGTATACAAGACTATATTTTCCCCCGATGGAGTGAAGTTTTTTTTGGGGGGTTGTATTTTATCTTTCTTAAGTATATTTCCTTCTAAAAATTCTAAAAATGAATATCCAATTCAGAAATAAATAACAATTAAAACAAATACTTCAAAAAAAAGGAAACAAACTCAATTGTAATAAAATGTTAGAATTACCTGGGATCAATTTTTGACGATCTTGCTGATGTGGGTTTTGTCTGTCCGTCCATATTGTATTCCTTCAACAAAAACAACAGTTATTATTTTATCTTCGATTTTCACCTTAGCTAATTACTTATCGGAATTTTTATCCTGGCTTGCGATAAGGAATTGTGATTTGGAAAATATTAGTCAAACAACAAATACAGACAATTAGCTTTAATTTGTGGGTTTTGGTACCCCTCTCTAAACATTTATTCTCTAATCTAAATCCAAACTGAAGTGTTTGTTTGCTTATACACTATCCATCAAAAGTAAGAGAAAGGATTATAATTAAATAAACAATGACGGGTGCATTTATGTCTGTTATATCTGCATGAAATTTCGAATTTTTAAATCAGAAAAGGATAGAGTTCTTCTTTATTTTTAAGGGGTTCATCAACTTTCAATAAAATACTTTTCGGTTCTTTCAACGAACAAATAAAATCTATTTTTTTGTTTTATAAAGGAAATTTATTTTTCATAAACTATATACAATGATTTCTTATTTAAACAAACAAAGGATTAACTTGAATACATATAGTATATTAAGCGAAAATTTGTTACTATCTACATAAAAACAAATGAAAATAAACACTTACAAAAATTGTTTAAACATCTAGAAATTAGCATAATTTGTTAAAAAGTCTAGAAATTAGAATAAATTGTTTTTAAAAAAAAGTTAAATTGAATACAACTTACCTGTGAAAGCATCCACAGAGTCTGATTGATATCGATTAGTTTGAGTCAGACGTTATCACTGTGACATATGAATATTGACTTTAGGAACACTTTCATCGTGTCCGGGGGTGAGACGTCGCCAAAACCTCTCTATATTTCACCTGTCATCGCTTTATTTCTAAAAGACATTAAAAGGTTTATGTCGTCACCAGAGACCAAATCTATCACTTGGTATCTTGTCTTTATTTTGCAAATACTTCTTAATACTTTATACTGCTATTCCGGCCGTCTTCTAGATATTTTCCGGGAGTATAGTGAACATGTACACTGAACAACATCGCATGTATCCAACACTTCTTTTATTAATCCCTATTGAAAGGTATTTAATAACTAGAAGAAGAATATTCCGTAGTAATCTTTTCTTCCGATTTCTGTCTTTTTTCATTGTGAATATAGCATAATGAATATAATTTGAAATATTATTTTTCGTCGTATTTCTTTTCAACAAAACTTTCAGATATGCTGCAATAGAAATGTACATAACTCTATATTCACCATTCATTCAGTAAATGACAAATTAGATATGGATCTACAACAAAATCAAGATCGACTTGGATTTAATGTTGTTACACCGTTCTCCATGTGGATATAGTGACAAAAAAGATTTCAATGTCACAGTTTCATGACTTTGTAAAATAAAGTGAGGGACGGACGTTTATGTTGATTTCCCACTTTAACAGCTGGACAATATTAATATCGATATTTTTTTCTGCATTCAATATTAATTAAAGTGATGAGACTTTATTTTCTTTAATGATTTCATGAAGAAATTCAAGTTTAAAACGTATGAAAAAATAGAAAGAATAAGTGTACAAAAAAAAGAAATCGTAAATATATATATAATATCAATAAATATTTCGGATAACAGGTATACGTTATTAGTATGATGTAAAATGTAGTCTTAGTAATCTATACTGATATATATCATTTTTTTAAATAAATTGTAAACGCTTATTTCAGATTGACAGCCAGATGGATAATTTGTCGAGTATTACCGAAAAATGAATTTAAGACAGAGGTGACAGTAGTTCTGCGACGTTCTAAAAATCCAATTGAAAGATATCAACAAAAGAAAAACCTGTAGGAATCGCATGAAGCGAGTCGAGTGGATGATAGTGTCCTCATCTCCGGGTATACATGCTCTCCCCAACCATGCGAGTCGAGTGGATAATAGTGTCATTGTCTCCGGTTATAACATGCTCGCCCCACCATGCGAGTCCAGTGGACGATAGTGTCCTCATCTCCGGGTATACATGCTCGCCCCAACCATGCGAGTCGAGTGGATAATAGTGTCATTGTCTCCGGTTATAACATGCTCGCCCCACCATGCGAGTCGAGTGGATGATAGTGTCCTCATCTCCGGATATACATGCTCTCCCCAACCATGCGAGTCGAGTGGATGATAGTGTCATTGTCTCCGGTTATAACCTGCTCGCCCCACCATGCGAGTCCAGTGGATGATAGTGTCCTCATCTCCGGGTATACATGCTCGCCCCACCATGCGAGTCGAGTGGATGATAGTGCCATCATCTCCGGCTATACATGCTCGCCCCACCATGAGAATCAAGACTCAGTCACTACAGGATAAATCATCAGAACAATATTGGTGTCTAAAGCTATATGACAGCGCAAACATGTATCTCGAGCGCTGACCTTGTTAGAGGAGTTTTTATGTCATGAGTTATCCCCGTTAATGATGTTCGTACACTGTGAACATGTATGCGCGTAAACGTATCAACTGACATATATATATATATATATATATATATATAAAAACGCCCTACGCTTTGGCAGAGGGTATGTTACAATGGAGTAATCGGATCTCAACAATGGGAAAAACGGAAATCGACACGTTTGTCAAAGATACTTATGCAATGTCTTCCATCTTTGTTAATTTTAAGAGAGAGAGAATAAACTAGACTCATGATGACAGTCACTAATCAATTGATACAGTGGACGGTTCCGTTTATTATTATTTAGAAAAAAAATTTTTTTTATAATTTTTTAAAATACAATTTCTAAAACCTATTTAACCTCTCTTACTCAGAAAATTTAATGGAATTTTAACGGGCTTTTAACAAGCAAACAGATTATTAAATATTTACCTAAAATATGAAGTTAAGTACCCGATTTTGTACCAAGTTAAATTTAAAGATAAGATTAGCGGCTTTGTTTGTATCGTTTTAAGAAATTATATCTACACCAGAAAAACGATGAAAATGTATTGAAAGCAGCTTATAAAGCAGATGTCCACAAGATAGGAAAGATCTGGCTAAAATCTGGTTTACCTTAAGACATCATACATTGAAATTAAAAAAAAAATCTTGTTAAGATATAAATTATGAATAAATGGTTTGCCGTCATCGAATTGCTACATAAAGAGAATGTATTTTAATTCAAAAGAAAAAAAAACTCTTAAATTCCATCAAACCACAAAAAATAAAGAGGAAAAATGGAGTGAAAAAAACACCGACGACAAAAAAAAGTTTGTTTAACATGGAAAATAGACTGCGGCACATTTCCCGACCCCAACAGCCATGCTAATAGAGATTAGGTACTACTGACATACAAACCTTTAAACAGAAAACAGGGAATGTAGGCTCTTTTTGTTATTGTCAGCTATTTGTCTCCTTTTTAACATGTATACTTTTTAACTGCCCATTTAGACCTGTTTACAGTCAAAAATTATAAACTGGACAAAACATTGCACAACATGCGAGAAAAAACACACTGCATGGCATATAGTATTGCCCAGTTTCAAATAAATATTTTCAGTTATTCAGTTATTTATAGATTTATATTAGTTGAAGTTCCATAGAAAAGAATGTTACCACTTATTGTTCCGATTTATGAACAACCTTCTGAATTAAAAAAATATATTGTATTATAGTAGTGCACATCACATTTAGAAACCACAAACAATTTAATGTGAAAGTATTTTGTTTGTTGGGATTATTAGTTGTTCATAAATGACCTTTTTATAGCGCCATTAGCGAGAAGTTGGCCTTAAACATATTATTACCGTATTTTACGGTATGAATAATTAGCTATAGGGTATTATATTTAATAAAATTCAATAAAATGAATATCATACGTTGCTGAATAGCTTTGACGTGATGTTTGCAGATCCTTTATTTGATTTTTTCATTAATTTTAATATAAAGTAATGTGCAAGATAATCTCGGTTTACAGAGAGACATCTCTGACGGAAGTACAAAAGGTTAAGGTTAAATTTTCTAATGTTCAATCCATCCTTTGGAATTACAAAAAGACGGTTACATTCTACATTCTTTTCTGTTTTGTTAAAAAAATCACTAGAAAATGACACTAAAGAAAAGTTTTCAGACATCTGAAATATAGATAAAATGATGATAATGAGTTAAATGTCAATGATTAATCCGACACAGTTAAACCAAAGTCGTCACACTGACTTCAACCAAGGCAGGTGCCTACACAATATTGCAAGCTCCAATTCGTGTAGTGTATACAAACTTTGTGAATAAATTTAACAGAGACTTTCAAAACTCTGCCATCAACACAAAATTCCCCAAAAGAAAAAATTATTCAGCAGATATAACAAAAGACATCCACTAAATAAGTTCCTTTCTTGGGACAGACACATGCACATTTGGCAGGGTAAAACTTGTTTCTCGCAAGCTCAGCCATTCCCATTTTGATCTCGATCATTGAAATGACAAATGGTGCATACAAGAACACTCATTTAAATCAGTACAGGAAAACACTTTGCTCTGTGGTAAATACATAAAATCTTGCATTCTTTTACACTAAAATCGGTGAATGTACTTTGAAAGTACATTGTAATGCGGAGTGTACTGTGTCAGATCACCATTATTTGCATAGTGTGCGATGTCAGTTCATCACTGTAATTGGTAGTGTATAAAGTAAGAATATATTTTGTTAATACGTGGTGTATTATGTCAGATCTTCATTGTAATGCATAGTGTACTGTTTCGGACAATCGTCATTATAATGCGTATAGTGTTTTGTGTCGGATCATCGATACAATGCTAATGTTCTGTGTAAGATCATCATTGTAATTCGTAGTGTGCTGTGTCAGATCGTCATTATAATGCGTAGTGTTTTGTGTCAGATCATCGATACAATGCTAATGTTCTGTGTAAGATCATCATTGTAATTCGTAGTGTGCTGTGTCAGATCGTCATTATAATGCGTAGTTTTTTGTGTCAGTTCATCGATACAATGCTAGTGTTCTGTGTAAGATCATCATTGTAATTCGTAGTGTGCTGTGTCAGATCGTCATTATAATGCGTAGTGTTTTGTGTCAGATCATCGATACAATGCTAGTGTTCTGTGTAAGATCATCATTGTAATTCGTAGTGTACTGTGTCAGACCATCATTATATTGCAAAGTGTACTGTGTCATATCATCACTGTAATTGGTAGTGCATAAAGTAAGAATATCATGGTAATACGTGGTGTATAATGTCAGATATTCAGATTATGTGTAGTGTACTATGTCAGATCATCATTGTAACGCGCATTGTACAGCGTCATATCATCATTTTAACGCGTAGTGTACTGTGTCAGATCATCTATTTCAATTATAGTACTTGCAATGATTTCTGGAAAATGCACCCATGAATGAGAAAAAAAAAAATTAATTTAAACTTCAATAAATATTTTCCCGTCTTCTTTTGGTCTCCCAACTTTTTAGCCTTAGTATTCCCAATTGATATTCAAAAGAAAAGCGTATCGATAGTAGTAAATTCTGTATTTTCAAACTACATTTCATAAAAAATAAATATCAATGAGATAACAATCATATCTAAATAAAAGGTATTCGTCCATGAGACAGCAACCGAACACCAAACACAAAGACATATGAACTTCGGACAATTTCACAGTAATCTCTTATTAACAATTTAACATTTTTTTTCTCTCTACAAAGTTCTTCAATAAATGCGATCATTCTTTAATACGGCATCTATGAA